ACCAGGGGATGAACGCTTGTGAACTTGGAGATATACAGTAACTAGCCTAATAAAAACTAAGTGGTTGCCCCATTGTACTTTGACACCAAACTATGCCCTCTGTGGAGAAGTGTGAGGCTCTAGCTTGCGGGGCGCTCAGTGTGGGTGGATTTCAGTCTCTCCACGACCTGGTCACTTGTGGAGGATGTCAGGCCAATCACAATACAAGGATGTGCGCAATCATATCAGAGCACAGTACATGGGTAGAGGATCACATTTAAATGAAACTTGCTATATTCATAAAAACAATCTACTGGTATACGATGAGCAAAGGCTAAACAAGACCATTGACCACAGCTATGCATAGGTCAAATGTATAACAAACAAAACACACTTATTATGTGTGGGTATTGTATATGACATGGAGGTGGAATTTGAGATCGTTAATGAAAGGCTGTACGGGTTCAAAGTTTAGTTGGGACAGTTGGGTCAGTTGTTAATTATACTTCTGGCAAAGAAACTGTGTCAAACTTGACTGAAGACATGCAGGTACTGTATATGTAAAATGTAGACGAAGGCTGTATGTGCTTAATCGAACAATAATTGGGAGAGGTAGCTAATTATGGACAATGGTCTAGTGTCTATATCTAGTTCATATTTGTGTAAAAATATTGGTATTCTTACGATGACCTGGTTTGCTTGTGCAGTTGACCCGGCCCAAGCAAAAAGCTGTTGGCCAAATTTGTCCAGCTGTTGTGGCCAATTTGTCTTTTTCCCTCTCCCCTCATCGGTCCTCTCCTGTCCGCACTCTCCTCCTCTTCCTCAGTTCACTTGTTTCCTGTGTCCAGTTGTGCCCGCAGACGCTGTTGTGATGATGAATCTGTGGCTGCAGTGTTTCTGTGTGTCTGACATAGTGATGTATCTCCACCGGCCATAACTCCCTCTCGATCTCTACCTTCCTTCTTCTCTTCGCCCTGCAGTCCTCGTCTCTGTCTACGTCCCTCTCTCTTGCCCATTCTCTGCCTCTCAATGATTAGGCATTGCCTGGCCTCCTGCCTCTGTGATGGAGCGGACAAAACACACAGACCCACAACCACTACCACCAACAACAAACAGGAACTGAGCTTCACGATTTGATTTTCACTGGGGGCGAAATAGCCCATCTGACCTTTCGGCCAAATGGTGGTGAATAGAAGAAAAGGGAGGTGTTAGACTGTTGTGTTTTGCCATAACGCAAAACCTCTGCACAGCCAGGAATGCCACAGTGTTACAGTTGAAAGAACACATGTAAAGTTTTGAAGGAATGACAAATAAAGGCAGGACGATGGCCCAAATAACACCTCAAAGCTGTGTGATTAGGACACAGGATAGAAGCCCCACAAGTATGTAATCTTTATTTACACGGAGACGCCGCAACAGTAAAACTATAGAGTTGACTATGGATTGGTCTTTTGTTCACTAGGTGACAGTGTTTAACGGGGGTGAAAACGCAAGCTTTGAAAACCAGCCTCCAGAATGGAACAAAACAGATACTCTGCGCCGTGGGGCCCAGCCGCCAGAGAGTCACACTTTTTTCTTCACACGGCTGAGATGATTCTGATTCTGATGAGCTCACCACCTTGCCTTCCAAACATGTGGACATACGCAGTTGCCGAGTATAAACGTAAACAACAATGGTGCCAGATCAACTTATGCTATGTGTACGTCTAGCATTACACGGAGAAGCAATTCTACCCCAGGTGCAGCTGTAGATTCCATTTCTGCTGCTACTGTTAGATGCAGAATTATGTTTGTGCATAATTTTCCTTCTTTGCCGTGACCTGAGGAGGATGTTGTTGAGGAAGTGGTTATACTGGTGGGGGTCGTGCATGTCGCGTTGTAAAGTCCCACTGCCCACTACTGGCCGGGCACTAGAACTACATCCTTTTCACTCACCGAATCCGGAATGAGTTTGTTCTTTGAGAATTGCCCCGTGTATACGGGGCCGAAGAAGTTCCCAGTTTAAAAGGCATTATACACACACAGGAGAAAATGCAAATATCATACTAGTGTACTAAAAACAACAACTTAAACCTGTGGTAATGTTTCTACAATATAATAATAATAAATAATTATAAGACCATTACTGCACTTTATGATTTGTATACAGTACAGACCAAAAGTTTGGACACACTTTCTCAATCAATGAGTTTCATTTCTCTTCATGACTATTGCCTGTAGATTCACACCTAGGCTGTGTAAGGGCTGTTTGACAAATAAGGAGAGTGATGGGTGCTGGGCCAGATGACCTGGCCTCCACAGTCACCGGACCTGAACCCAAGCCAGATGGTTTTGGGACTGGACCACAGAGTGAAGGCGAAAGGGCCAAAAGTGCTAAGCATCTCTGGTAACTCTGGGAAGACTGTTGGAAGACCATTTTAGGTCACTGCATCTTGAAGCTCATCAAGAGAATGCCAAGAGTCTGCGAAGCAGTAATCAGAGCAAAAGGTGCTACTTTGAGGAACCTAGAATATAGGACATATTTTCAGTTGTTACATACTTATTTATTTTTTTGTACGTATATAATTCCACATGAGTTTTGATGCCTTCAGTGTGAATCTACAATTTTTATAATAATGAAAATAAAAAACTCTTAAAATAATTTACTGTGTAAACCAGAAGTTTCTAATAAAAGTATATTATTATTATTATCATTATTAAATCTGCACATGGTATTATTGTCCCTCACGACCGTGGGTACTCGCAAATATGTCCCATCTCACCGGCTTGAAGTTTAGCATGTTTTTCAACTTAAGGTCATTTCTGTAAAACAATAATAGATTGTATGTTATAATTTACTGTTTTGATCGCATTGTCAATATGAATCTCTATACCAAATTTCAGCTTTCTGCGAGAGTCACAACATCCACCCCCTGTGATTCCAGATCAACAGTATAAACTATTCATGTCTTCTGACATATGTTTTTACCAAAATTATTGACAATGAGACATGAATAAAGGTAAAAAAATTAATCTACCCTCTAAACCTTAAATAATGTATATTTACATAGTGTCTGTACAGTAAATGTCCAGTTTTCAGCGTTTTGTGTATCACATAAATAACTTTTTCAAATGCAATTTTTTTTTTTTTTTGTACAGACTTGATATGCAGCTGCGCACAATGACTTCCTTCAATGCACTACACCTGTGGTTCCACAAACAAACCAAATCACTTATGTACCAACACTTGAGTTCAAGAAGATAACACTGTAATTCCATCTTTCCCAAATGACGGTTGTTTGGGTGCTGCATTTTATGTGCGTGAACTGTGGAGAGGGGCTTTAAAAGAGGCTCGCTCCTCTGCCCGTCGCCTGGAACAGTAGCTTGGGCTCATTATCCTGATGAAATTTGCACAGATGTGTGAGCTGCCGACAGACTCCGCAGTGACACAAACAGCCAGCTCTGTCCCCTTGAGCCAGTCAGGTGATGAAAACCAGAGAGGCACGGGGGCTGAGAAACGACGACCATTAAGCAAAAAAAGAAATAGGTGTGGGAGTGTGGATGAACATGATTGTGTATGTGTGCTTGTGTGCTGGGGGGCTACATAGAGTTTCACTTTCTTGTGGGGAAAGCATTACATAAAGTAACAATTTCTAAACCGCCTTCTTAAAATTCCTGATGAAAATGTGCAAACGTGTATGATGCTTCTCTACACGAGGAGCTAATCTGTCCGTATCCAGATGATGAGCGGACTGCCACTTAACAGGGAGGAGATCCACTTTGATCACATGGCCCCTGGGGCAAACCTATCGCACTGCCTATTACGCGCCTTCATTTGCATATGTGGGGCTTATGGGTAGGCTGAGATCTACAGTGAATGTTCTTAACTGCTGCAGAGCTCAATGTTGCTCAAAAGATGTCCACAGAGGAGTCAGAGCAAAGACACACTGCTGCCAATACCTGGGGACAGGAAAGTCCACTTGTCTCTTGAAGGTCAGTCATAAGTTCAGCAAAATAGAAAAACATCACACTTTTTTAAAGATTTAAATAGTGGTCAAATCGTAATTCATAAGAGTAGCCCTAAACTTCTGCATCAACATGCCTCAATGTAAATTTGTATTAATGTCAGATAAAAATACTGTGGTAAAAGTTTCAGTATAAATTATGGAATGTGGAATGGGGACTGCATTCTCAACACAAACTTTACATAAATGGACAAAACTTATTTAAAAGCCAATGCACCATTTAAGCTCAGCAAGCTGCACATCAAGAACAACAGGTGAATGGTGCCGCCTGTGTCTTCTTCCTGTTTGCACCGACTATGAAAGCTACACCCATACCTCTTGATCTCTGTTAGCAAGCCAAGCACTAACATCCACCACAGAAGTTCTGCTGGAGTAAACAAAGAAAAATGAAATGCAAAGTTCTATTGTGACATCACTAGGTTGTTTGCGTAAACAACTTAAACTAACCACAAAAGGAAGATGGTCTACTTTTGAGTTCCACAGGGATTTCATATTTGAAGTCATCAACTTATTATGACAGCACATAGCATTGTACTGTCAACAGAGGTCGGGAAAAGTATAATGTGTTTTCATAACAGCAAGGTTCAATTAAACTACAGAAACAGTCTTCACAGTGAAAAAGGTGAATGTGGTAAATAAATAGATTGTTATTGCTGCTGAGCTGGTGTTTTAACAAATACGTTTTTTTTCCCAAAGAAAAAAAAATCTTACATATGTGTGCTTTTTTTTTGTAAATAAATTATCCTGAGCCAAAAGTAGATTTGCAAATGACTGAAATTAACAATCAAAATACATCAATATATTGCTCAATCAAACAAAACAAAAGAACCCAGCAAAATGAGACCAAACACTCAAGACTTGAGGTAGAACCAGTTCATAATTAATAACTTGGTTTTGAGGCTAGCGCTACCACTGATATGTAATAGATTTTAAATACCATTATATATGTAGAGGCATGAAAAATGTATACACAGGAGCCAGAGAAATGTCAGGGGTAATGATCTCGGCACAGCTTACCTCCTTAGCTTTCTGTTTCAGTCGAGCTTGCTCTGGGTCTTCCTGCCTGGAGCGACTCTGTGGAGCAAAGGAAAGTGGGAGACACAGGTTAACAGCTGGTTTAAGGAGACCCCTTCCCTCACCATTCATCTGTTGCTGCTGCTGCTGCAAAAATAGTGCAAAATGGGAGCAGGATACTAAGGTGTCAAGGACACTGTATTTGAATTCAGAGAGGTGCGATGAAGCACCCCTGGGGGTCTGTGGCCTTTACACCCACTCCAAATCTGGGCCTAAAAAGCTGCTAGGGGGGGGGATTTTAATCAAAAGAGGTTATTAAAAATCCTACACAAGCCAGCGTGCTTGCACACACACACACATACACCCACAATGCACATACATACCCACATATAGGGCAAAGAGTGTTTGTAGGAAAAGGCAGCTCTGAGAATATATAATTCTGTGGCTGGCTAGTCGGCTGTGAAGCATCCCAGGTGTAACAATACCTTCCAAGTTCCGAAAATATTAATTAATTGCCAACCAATAAAATTACACTATACTTGAAATAAATTTACAGTCAAATATAGTATAGTGTAGTATGATATAGTTATTCCAGTTCCATTCCAGTTTGATAATGGATAAAACTCAAATCAACAGTGAATGATTGGATCTGCGTTTTTTCTGGTGACTCTGAAGGGAAATGCACAAAAACTGAAAACATGCACACAAACTTACTCATTGGGGAAAGGGTAGGTCCTTAGTGCTTCACTGTCTTTTGACAGATCGACCTGTCTGTTTATGAAAATGCTCTTGTTCATGGTTTCAGAAAGTGTGGGCTAATATTGTGCCAGAGGATTTACACCTGTGATTGGGTTGTTGTGCTCCTCAGGGCCACCATAGTTTTAATGTAGAGTTAAAGAGTCAGAACTGTTGCTGTCAGAATCTTAAAGACTATCTTCAAAGTACTTGAGTACTTTGAGAGTTTATCTGCACTGTCAATACATTCATCACAAGGGCATGATGGGTTGATGAGTTTTACAGGACAGTCGCCATTTCCTCTTTGTGTCCGGGGAGAAAGCCAGGACAGAGAAGCCCTAGGGACAGAAGCCTGAGAGGACAAATGGAGGTCACTTCATCCACTGGTGTCACACTCTAATTCATCTGCGAGGGCCCGAGCATGCGATGCAACCTCTCACACATGCACACACACACAAGAGTCCTCATGGTCACAAACACACACTGCTGTACAGAGATTGAATTTGATGACAAAATCCTACTTTTGCAGCTTTCAATAAGATCTCTCGCTCTTGTTCATCCTTCTTCTGCTTCTCGATTCTCTCTAGTTGCTCAAAGAACCGGAGTTGGGAACGCACATCCGCAGTCTGCAAGTGGCTCTCGTCATCCTGGTAACAGAAGGGTAATTCAGTGGAGATCATTGGGAATGAAATGATTTAATGAAGAAACAATGTTTGCAACAAATTTACAACTGGCATTACACAAAACTATATATATATTATAGAAAGTAAACATAAATCCTGAAAGAGGTTTAGTAAAAGTTCTCCAAGTGTGAGGAATGCCTTTGTAAGAGAAATAAGCAGGAGTCAAGGAATGAATACATCCATCCAAAGAACACCTTATGCGTGTGTCTTTAGTGTATTATCTTCCATTTTCCATTTTTATATGTATGGCTTGTAGTGTCTATTAACTTAAATTTCCCTTGAAATTTAACGTTGCTGAAGGACAACCATCAGCGCAGCACTTCACCAAGCATTTCCTAGCGAATACTGTCCCTACAGAGACGGATGGTGGGGGCAGCATCATGCTGTGGGGATATTTTCAGCAGCAGACGAGTCAAGATACAGAGATAAATGTGGATGTACATGCATGTGATATTTTTATTTTTTATTTTTCATCAAATGGAAAAGACATAGATTTTAATAAGGAAAAATTGAGAATTGCATCGTTTTTGGAATCTAACCTTACAAAATGTAGAACTGTAAAATTAATTTAATATCTACATAATCATTGATGGAAAAAAAAAACACATTGTCAGAAAATCTGTAATCAGCATAACAGAATCCATCAACATTGATCCAAAACACTGCAGTTTTTACTCCTAATTCAGAATTGAAATCATATATTACAGTCCAGGGTACTACGGAAGCCTTCGATGGACAATATGTCGTCTTTGACAGTGCTTCCGAACTCTCAGTCATTCACCGGACTGCCAAGGAAAGAATCCTTTAGTTTAATAACATGTAAACAAGACTGCGTTCTAAAGCGGCACCCGCTGCACAGAGGCTCTACTGAGTTTTACCAAGGATCTATAATATATAGTTTTAAAAACGTGGTGTGAAGAGAAGAGACGCATGGAGGAATTACATCTGTGGGAGCTTAAAACCATGATGATCCCAGAAGCAGGACATATACAAAGCCGCGGCAGAACTTTGGCAAAAAGCTCGAATTATTAGCTTTCACCACGGGCACAGTAAGAAAACAGAACATTCAAACGCATGCTGGTGATAAAAGTATTGTGGCAATTGTTTTGTGGGGATTCTGTGTGCATATTTACCCCCTGAATAAGTTTAGTTGAAACTAGACATAGCAGTTGGACAATTGTTTTGTGGGGATTCTGTGTGCATATTTACCCCCTGAATAAGTTTAGTTGAAACTAGACATAGCAGTTGGACAATTGTTTTGTGGGGATTCTGTGTGCATATTTACCCCCTGAATATGTTTAGTTGAAACTAGACATAGCAGTTGGACAATTGTTTTGTGGGGATTCTGTGTGCATATTTACCCCCTGAATAAGTTTAGTTGAAACTAGACATAGCAGTTGGACTGCGCACGGGAGCGGGTCAGAACATCTGGAGACCTTTGTAGCAGATTCTGCCTCATTCTCATTACTGTCGGTGTGAAGAAACTTACTGTCGGTATGGGGCAGTTACTGTCGGTGTGAAAAAAGTTACTTATTATTCTGTACTACACAATGTGCCTCCTGTCATTCTGTCTTTGGTTTTCAATCTTGACACAGGTTAGCTGTTATGATGCTGGTTTCTAGATTTTTGCCTTATTCTTCTTCTAAAAGAGATATTAGTAGCATCCTTTTTGTCCCTTATCAACCAATGTATCTAAAGATGGCACATTGACCTGGAGAGCAGTCCAGCTCTCATGTACATTTATAGGTCAAACTCTTGGCCTATGAAAAGGTAAATATATTCTTAAAAGGATCACATTTGTTATTAGTTAACATGTTTTTTTCATTTGGAGCAACTGTAAGAGTACCTATAACAGGTTAAAGGTTTTCGGTTCACAAGAAGTGTATTTATCTATATATCTCACACAGGGGAGTTGTAAAGATAGCTAGCTTAACAAGCAAAGAATAATATTTAGGTCATCAAAAGTTAATAGGATAATTGCTTGTTTCCATAGTTTTGACTTCACATTTGTATATCACTGATAGATGTCTCTATTTCCATGAGTGAGAGAAGCTCGGTGGCACGGATCACAAAGCGACATCACAAGAGCCACATCCCCCTCTTGCCCCCTCTTCTCGCTGCCTCTCATCCAGCCACTTGTCTTTGTTGCTGCGCTGAGACTGCACTCCTGCCGCCGCCGCTGCTGCTGCCGAGGCCCGGTTGCTCTTTAAGGCCGCTTTGTCTTTTGGTCTTAATCTTTTTTCTCTCCCTCTCTTCTCTATTTTTTTTACGCTGATGTCAACAGAGTGGCTCCGTGTCTCAAACCTCAATTACAGAACCACAAAAAGGCAGCAAACGTATGAAAAGTAAAATCGCAAAACAAGAAGGGGATCGCTTCAGCGCTGCCGCCTATCGTAGCGTGGAAAAACACACTTTCAAAGTTTCCCTCAGTTCTTTTCTCCATGCCCGCATTTGTGGGCTGAAGTGGAGGTGGAAGTAAGCTTGTTTACCAATTATATGGGTATATGGTTTTACTATTATGTGAGATAAAGACACTTATATTAATCTTGCACAAGTCTCAAGTGACAAAACTTATACCGTTTGTAAACTTAAGGGCATATAGCACCTTCTCACAAACTTTTTTTACAATATTTTTTCACAATGCGTATAAGCAGGTCGACAGATGACAATGTTCAGTTCATTTCAATGTAGAAGTATGAAATATTTATGTATACTTTTCAAAGCATTATCTTACTTTACAGGAGTCAAGTCGATGCTGTGCAATAGTAGAAACCTTTTCCACCAGCGTCCGTAGTCGTGACTGCGTGGCATGTGAAATGAAAGTCACAGCCTCCATCGGTACCTCAGAAACTCCATATTTCTTGGCTGTGAATACAATCATGTTTATTAAAAATATATAAAAAATTTGCATTCAGATTTGACTTGAACATAATATTAACCACACAATAAGAGTTCTCATCTAAAGGCCCAATGTTTTTATTTTCTTTTGTTCAATGATTTTCTTTTCTGCCTTTGGAGAATTTAGGCCAGCTGTAACAAAATGGAAAGTGCTGGATTTTGATTATTACACAAACATGTCTTAAATATATTGTTTTATTTCCACATATTGTGTATCCTTTGTGTATTTGAATTGTTCTAGTAGTAGTAGACATACTAACTAGAGTGAGGTTATTGAGCTAATACCTTTTTGAATTCCTCTGATTTCCACCATAGAGTTTTGCAGTGATCTTATCTTGTATCTGTGTTGTGGCTCCTGTGGGAGCTTAAAGTGTGTGCAGTTTCACATAAGAACTCCTGCTCTAGTTTAAGGACATGCCTGAGGTCATAAGCGGAACAAGAGGATGAGGGCACCAGTCACTGTCCCAAGGATACAAGATAATGAAAGAGTAATACATGTACAAAAGAAAATAAAAGAATAAAAAACAACTACCCCAGATAAAAGAATACAAATAAGCATGTATATTAAAATCATGCTGAACTGACGAGTACTACGTTTACTACAAATCTAACAATGAATACAGAGACAGAGAGAACAAGTTTATGATAGGTGTTGATAAAATGCATATAAAGAAAAACGAAAAATAGAGCTTGAATTGAACTGGCAGGCCTTGGGAGCCTCCCTTGGACTGCTGTCAGATGGGAGTGTGGCCTGGCCAATCACTGACACAACAAAGCTGCATAAGTGCCACTTGCCCAGCAGGGGGTGCACTTGCCTCCTGCCCTGTATCATGCTGAGTTCCTGCCCAAGGTCAGATTTATATTTTTAAATAAGGATCTGCCTCAAGGTTACATGGTAACAACCAGGCCAGGAGTCCATGAAACAAAACATGACCTCCGGGCCTCTGTACTGCAGCAGTAAAAATTCTATAATTATGATGAAGCGCGTTGAGGGCGCTAGACTCCCATCATGTGGAATTACAATGTGTGTTGATCTAATGCACAAGAGAAAGATATTAGGCAGTTTTTGTTTGAGTAATAACATTCATTACACCTTTTCACAAGTTAAACCAAGCAGTGCAAGTCAAAAGTGTAACTCAAGCAATAAAATGTACTGCCTGTGGCAAAGGCACTAATGAAGACGCTATCATTTCTATCTGATACTGCAAGCAAACGAGAACTATCTGCCTCTATTGATTAACTTCTGCAATAGTGTGTATGATCAGAACTGCAAAGTGCCATTCCTCTAAATGGCACTTTTTAATACTATACCACAAATACTATTCCTTTGTGGCAAAGGACAATCTGACAGCCAGCCTTCAAAAGATGAACTCATAAAGTATTATGTATGTGCCTGAGGTCCAGTAAGCTCACTTAAGAATTCATTAGAGGTGAAAGAATTGTTAAGTGTATCAAATCTAAACCAAGGCCAAACAAAAAGGGAGCATAATCAATGCACAGATGCATTGCCAGGACAGAAGGGAAATTCCGCATATTCACCTGTTTCCAGAATGCGTCTGTGGAGCAGGATCGGATGTAGGAAAGCTTCATCTTTGCACGAGCGAATATGTGTCCCCACCAGCTCTGAGTTAGTCGCCAAAATCCGTGCACTCTCTTCGTTAAGGTTCACCCCAGCCATGGAAGCCACATCATTGATGTCATCATCATCTCTGAACACAAACAATTTACATTAGTCTTGCAGCAAAAGGTTTTTTTTTTTTATAAGCCGTTAACAATCAAATACAATCTTTGTTTGTGCTTGTAACATGACAAAATGTGCAAAAGTACGAGCTCTAGTGTCACTTTTACAAGGCACTGTATGAACACCCACAAACAAACCTTTGAAAGCAATAACAATAAATACTAGAACCTAACTAAGTCAATTTAAAAGTACAACAAAGAATTTAAGTATTGCAATGCAGCAATAAAATAAGTCAACGAATAGTGAATGAGATGTAATGTAATTTTGAATTTTGCAGATATTTTGTTTATTTGTAATAATCAATAATGTATTTGTGTGAATCACATTCAGTCACAACCTTCGGTCAGGGTGACCCCTCGATGTTCCCTGGCTCACCTCCACAGTCATACAAATATGACATTGTTGTACAATCGCTGTAGTGCTTTTGTGTTGGCCCTGGGCTCTCAGCGCAACACACCGTCAGCCAGTTTCATCCCGCTGAGGCTCTCCTTGCTTCTTTACAGCATGAAGCTCATATGAAACTTGACACCACGGTGGGAGGTTGACAAAGACAATTAGAGGCACCCTCTCAAACTTCATACACCTACCTTTTATATGTTTCATTTTATTTATTTTCATACGTCTGCTGTAGGAAAAACAGAACACAAGCAGAGACAACTAGCAGCTTTGCTTTATGTCCTCTGCTGTGCCCCGGGCCATACAGCTTTCTTCCCCATGGATATCACATCCACATGAAAAACATGACCTGTCCTAAAAAGAAAAGTGCCTGAGGCCAACGCTCAGGTAAAAAGGAACTCGACAACTTTCCCATATTCAAACTGTATATGATTACCACCAAACAAAAAAACGTATTAACATTGTACAAGTGACACCAATGATGACTTGTAATAATCTACATTCTCAAGTATTTTTGTTTGTTCTTGAACTTTCAACAGCACCGGCTTGCTATGTGGATTGGGCCTTGATTTCTAGTATGTGAATTTTGTGCTGGGCACAACTTTAGCCATCAACCCAAACCAATGCATTATTGGGAAGACTGCACAGCTCAGGTTTTAACAAGCTCAACGTAAGAATATCTTGTTTTCTTTTTTGATAAGGAATATTGATATTGTGACATGGTTTAAAAATTATGATGTTGCATGATAAGTATAATAACAAATGTATAATATGCCCAAAATTTACAATATGACCTCCAAAAAAACTCAAGAATTGTGAATGGCATGGACATGTCTGACATTAAAACGACGGAATGAGATATGAAATGTTGAATATTCCAGTCTATACTGCATTCACCAAGCAGCTGTAATTAGCCACCACAGAAGCTAAAGAGACCCTCTCAGTTATTGGTTCAGGTTTGCTGGGGGACATGGAGCCCGCGGTCACATGAATACATATGCATGTCGTTTCCATATCAAACTTGTGCTTCAGAGGGGCACGCCATGGGTGGTGGGAGGGCCGCATCCCATTTAGAGCTTATGTATGTGTGTGTTGGTGTCTGCAGAAGTATGTCCAGAACTTCAACCTCAGTGCCCAAGCAGGGGGCTCTCATTGATCCTATTCCACTTTTTAAATTTGATTTCAGGGGGTTTATTTGAGGAAACCAAACTGTACTGTGCTCAACAAAAAGAACACCATGCAAATGTATTACTTAATATATTTTTTTAAGCATGGGAAAGGTTGGTAGTGCAGGATTAAAGTTGCCATTGATTTGTCAAATAAAGCCAATTCTTTGGAGTACATCGTTTGAGTTCTACACTACTCTGAACATAATCAAATCTTGTGGCAACTGTGTTTACAAATCTCTGAGTCAACACAGTTTTGGGAGGTCACTTTTAAAGTTCAGTTCATTGAGTCAGTGTTATTTGTTGCTTCAGAACTTCAGGACAAACATCTTATGGTTGCTTTGTAGGTTGAGAGTGGAAACGGCCAATTTCAATCCAGTGTTAACAGTAATTTTAGATTACACACGCTTCATTCCCTTTAATACTTTTTGATGCAGCTATGGAATTGCGATTGTGGGAATAAGTTTGCGTCCAGCGTGGAGGGGGAGCCGAAGCATAGAGGTTTGCAGAAGGCTGAGGACCTGGGCTGGCTCGCCTGTGATTACAGCGGATGTTGAATGTTTACAAAGGGCTGGCAAATGAAGGAGGTGGGGAAGCACTGAGGCAGCTGCTTTCACTCTCTACTGTAAACTACACAACTCACAAAACACAAGTGCTTACAGTGGGCTGCAGTCGTATTGAAAACCCCACAGGCCATGCAGTATACTGTATGTGTGTGTGTGTGTGTGTGTGTGTGTTACAGTTGGCCCACTCAGACTAGTGTCAGCCTGAACACACGCCACTCCATCTAAACAGAAAGTGGGAAGTCAAGCCAGCCAAAATTACATGGTTTTCATATATGCGTACATGTCTTTGTCTCCAGTACATTGGTTTTTGTAAAGCCCTTTTCTCAGGTCTTCTCCTTAAATAAGTCCAACAACTGCAGCTTTTGCAAAATAATGCGGCTTGCATTCCAACTTGGACAATTAAAATGTCTAATTCGATCTATCATTATACCCCATTCAGACCCGGATTGTCTTACTAAAAACTAAATCCTTCCACAGTCCACAGTAAATTCTGATTCACTTATGCTTTATGAGCCGTGCTGTCTCATATCCCTAGAACTCAACTCTAGACTCACTTATTGTTTTGGACGTTAATTTTTTCAAATGTTGTGTCTCTTTTTGTGCTATGTTTCATCATTATTACTTTTATTGCACTGTTTTTGTTAAACACTAAGATGTATGAAATGTGCTATATAAGTTCATTTCCTTTCCTATACTGAAAACTAAACTACCACTTTTTGGGACCATGTTCTATGTAGATTTTTGAAGAATGTGATTAACAGTGGGATTAGCAGATATATGCTGAAGATTGGTTCACACAGCAAGATAATTCTCTCCTTCAGTCAATCGGAGGCTCAGGTATCTCTGGCGATTGTTCAGACTGCTCTCTTCTGCTCGGTCGGACGTCAGGACCACTCCAATCTCAAATCAGGGACATGTTGGAATGTTTTGGCACAATATGTGGAAGACAAACAATCATGTCACGTGTAGCCAATCGGAAAACAAGGTGATGAAGCAGCTAGGAAACAAAGACGGAGGATAATCCTAAATCAAAACAGTCGGATAACTCCCCACCGTATCCTAATGTAGCAGGTACAGTTCATGTTCCCATTGTCTTCACTGCTTTGATAAGATGCCTTTTTTATTTATTTATTATTATCTATTTGGTTGGGACAGTACATTTTAATGAACACATCACTCCGGATTGTAGCCATGGGCTAATTTCCATCCGTTGTCCCACATTCGCACTCACACACACACACTCGTTCACTGTGAACTATTGCAAATGTTTTTAGTGGTGGGGGAAACCGGAGTACCCAGAGGTAACCTACGCAGACACGGGGAGAACATGCAAACTCCACACTGTTCCGACCGGGATTTGAACCGAGAACCTTCTTGATGAGAGGCGAGAGTGCTAACCACTCAGCCACCGTGCCGCGGTTCTATAGATAAGGTCTCTCCACTGATTTGTTTTCCTTCAACACAGAGTTCAGAAAACACAGAGTAATTTAATGGTAGGAAAGTTGTGTGTCAGCAAGATCATACAGTATTTAGCACTAACTGCTTAAAAACCGAGCTTTTTTCTCAAACCCCGCTAGACTAAAAAAAGAAAAAAGAATGCTCTATATTCTAGAAAACCTTCACATCAATGCAACCACATTCCTTACAAGAACAATTAAGGTAGCTTGGGTTCTTAGAGGTGTGTCTGTGCACGTGTGTGTGCGATTAAATTAATTCATTCCATTCCAAAATTGCGTTCAATATTTAATAACTTTAGCGACATCTTCGGCATCAATTGGGATTCTTTTTTACCGCTTACTAAGACTGCAAGACATTCTGCTACTGTACACTTACTGTATTTGGGAATAGGTTAAAAGTGGAAATAATTATCAAGATGTAGCTCTTCAGCTCAATTCAAATACTTTTATACTGAGGTTTCCATTGTTTTGCAGAAAGTTTATTCAATCCACATCTTTGCAACTGTGAAAGGTGAAATAAATGTATGTGGTGGAGCACATTGAGCTTTTAGCTGTGGACTTTTTTATTTGGTTTGAGAATACCCTGGTGTTTGACACCGTTGACGGATGAGGAGTTTGCCCCGTCTTTTATCTTGTCAAAATTCCCTGCTCACCTCTGGTTCTGGTACAACTGTCTAGTAGAAAAAATCATAATATAATTTCAATGATTATTGTAAACATGACAAAATATGCAAAGATTTAAGAAAAATTCATACATACAAGAGGCACTGTATATAATAATATAAATAGTATAGGATATAAATATATTGATAGTATATACTGAGTAGCGTAATATTCAGTTTAGTTAAGGCTTTATTTTTTAAAGGTACAGTGCACAGCAAACATTAAGCTCAAAGCCAGATATGTTCTGCACCAGATTATAGCTACACAGCTAATTTCCATCTGCAGTCCCTCACATCTATATTTCAACTTTGACAATGATGCTGTGCACTATGTTTGTTTGTGATGGCCCATTGTGACAACCGCAGGGACAAAAAGGTCAGTAACAAGCAAGCTTGACAGCTTAATTACCAATGAAGCTAAAGATTTATTGGTTTATCAATGAGAGCTCCGGGCACTGCCGTTGCCCCCAGGAGATGGGAACCATTATCATGAACCTACTGGTCCATGTGACCCAAACTCTTATTCTATCCGGTCACATCAGGTCAGGCCAAAATAAATGCATCCAGTAATGTCTGCGCAAAAGGAAATCACTATACTTATAATACAGTCATGAACAACCCGACTCAAAACAATTTAAATCAAAATATTTGCAATAACCTAATCATTTAATTCTGATGCTTCAAACATTACTCCCATACATTGACACAGATACTACATTTACACAAACATGGACCACAAAGGACAGTATGTGGGCGATGAACCTTTTATGTTTTCAGACAAAAGCCCAGCAGAAGTACAAGACCAGAGCAATTGGAATAGAGGGAGAGAGCACTGCCTCAGGCTAAATACCATATGTTTGACTTCACCAAAGGTATTTTCAGAGCTGCATCCAGATATTCTAGCCATCTGGTTTCAATTAACATGTTTCTAAATCAAGATTCTGTTCATTTGTTTTTTAATGACACTGTGACACTGATTCAAGAAGAACAGTCGAGGAGATGAGCAATAATATCTTGGGCTTAACGGAAGACTTTCAGACTCTCCATCACTCAGCCAGGTGGTCAGGGACGCAACAGGATAAACCTCAAAGGCCCCTGAAAAAGCTATAGCTGACAGCTCAGATTGTAGAAATGAGGTGAAGTCAAGTGAAATGCTGCCCCCAAGTGATGGCTGCTAGGAACAGTCCTCTGTATTGTGAGCCTACAGTGAGGGGTTGTCTACCTGAAAGAGCCTCCTCCGGGGTCATTAAGCTTGTTTTTCCCAGAAATCTGGACAGCCAGGCCCATGGGACTTTTTCCAACCTGGATGGCAGCTCCTTTCCCCATTGTGCCTGTTGAACAGAGTAGAGAATAAAAATATAAAAGGTGAAACAGAGTCACATCGTCTTGAATATGTCCAGTCTTATCTCCATCAAATATCCCTCTATCGGACAACTACTTTGGACTGAGTTTGTCATCCTCGCGGGGGAGGACAGAGGGGCTGGGGGGAAGGGGTTGTCGCACTCCCCAGGTTGGTGTGGAGAGCATCATCCTGTCAATATCACTGCACTTCAGCAGCACTCCTTACACTTCTAAACTGCATCCAGCTCCCAGACATGATTTCCAGAGAGGCACAAGGACTGCCAGAGTGAATTTAAACTTGATTTTAACAGGCATGTTCCTAGCCAAGAGGCATAAAACGTATTTTTAGAACCATCCCTGCATTCCAATTCATGGGCATAAAACAACCTACAGATCTTTCACTACAGGCAGTCTCGGAGATGGGGGCAGATCAAATTTGTATGCACCTCTCATTGTGCGCACGTATAAACATATACGCAAAAACAGGTGCACACACGCTCAACAGCTGAGAGCACATTACTCTCTTTGGGGAGTGCATCGTTTGTGTTGTATGGGGGCAATATTTGCAGGCTTCTATGGATGAGCGTTTGTGAATCAGTATGAGTAAGCAGCAGCAAAAATGTTTGAGAAGCCTTTATAAGCTTGCAAAAAAACACCTGTTCTAGTCTCTCCGTGACTCAAATCTGTTAACAGATCTTATTGCCTACTGCCTGTTCAGTACAGCGTATTTCACTGGAAGCTTATTCTGAATTTGGCAAGGCTATGTGAAAAAATATTGCCATATGTAAGCACTTCTTTTTGGACTTTTGCTTTTCCAAACAAATGAATAATTTGGCTTGCACTAAAGCCTACCTTGTGCTCTGATGGACTGCGTGATCACCACTGGCATGCGCACCTGACCGCCCACAGAACCAGTTGCCTTGAAACCCTGAACGACAGAAGAGTCAATTAGAACCACTTATGAACTAATTAAAAAAAAGACACACACATGCTGTCTTGTGCTGGCCATAAGTAATGGGTCTTATTTGATCATTTGCCGTTCCAGTAAATTAATATGAATTTTCTTTATACAATAACACTCACGAATCAAAGATGAATTAAATAGAAGAAAAAGCAGTAGAAGAATAGTGAGCTAATAGTGTCCCTTCTTTCCAGGGAAGCAGCCACTGGCTCAACCTCCGGCTGAGTCATCCATTGATACTAGTTTGCTTCTTGCTGCATATTTTTTAACCTTGTTTTTCATTCTTTGACACATGCTATATTACTGTTCAAGCTACATTTTTCCAAGAGATGCACTGGAGGGGATTATGGGAGCAGAAAAAAGGTAACACATTCAGCACACAGATATCCAGCACCTCCGGCTAGAAGAGCTCACATATAGTTTTTGAGTAATCAAAGATACAGTTCAACTACCACATTAAGGTTAGAAAATATACATGGTCAAATTAAATGTTCAATAACAAATATAACGGAAATAAAAAAATAAATGCGTGTGAGAAAATATACATGTTCTCATATCAATCACACTTCTTAATAGGATCAAGCAGAACAAATGACTTCATATTCTGCCGAATCCCACATCTGTGTGGCATTATGCTGCAGTTATGCCCAAAGCAATCATTTAATATAATATGTTGTGCAGGAGCTGGTATTTGATTTGGTGTGTGAGCAAGAGCAATGGTAAGAGGCCAAGAGCATGTTGGACATAGACTATGGACACTTTAAAAATTGACCCGGGGCTGACCTAGTTACCTCGCTTCACCCTTTTTACTGTTAAAGGGTGGAGAGGGGCTGAGGAGAAAGTCATGTCGGTGGAGATAAAACATAAAGAATTGCAAAGAGATGCAGGAGGGCAGACAAATGTCAACAAAGATAATCCAAGACATGTTCTATGCTACAGAATTACCTGGAACGCTGGTGATGAGAGGAGCACATTAACCTAACCCTCGTAAAGCAATTACAATGTATTTGTAACAAAAATATGAAATCCAGAAGGTGCAGGGGTTTTAACCCTTGTGCTGTCCCCGGGTCAAATTAATCGTCCACAGTGATTAAGAAATACCCTAAATAATCAAATTAGAATTTAGATGATTTTTTGCAAACTTCCCTTTCAGAACCTGTGTCTACTTTTAATCACTGTGGAGCAGTAGACCAAAACACTTGAAATAACAGTGTTTATTAGGATTAGTGCATTGCCATGTATCTGGAAATACAATACACATCAAAATGCATTGGTCACTATACGATGCAATATTTCCAGATACTAAACGATATTTTATTGGGAGATTTTGTAATTAAAACTAATCACAAATCCGCTCTTGTGAGAGGCTACTGTTCAGTGTGTCGCTAGTGAGTGGAAATGTTAAATGAACAACAAGTAGGGGTGGGCGATATAGATCGTAGATGATAATATCGCAAAAGTGAATTTGCAGATATGCTTTTTTTTTTTTTTTACATATCTCCAATACATATTACAATTAGCGCAGGCAAGATGTCCATTTATCAAATGTGTGCCTAAGAAGCCAATCACTGCTTTAGTTGTACATTTCAATAAATTTTGCCTCTTTACTTGCCGTGTTACTTGAATTTGATTTTTAATGTTAATATATATGTTTGTGCATGTTTCACAAAGATGTGTGAAGCAATTCACAAATAAAAAGTTGCTATTTTGATCTATATTGTCTCTGTTGCCCTGGCAAGCAAAACATTGCAGATAATTTAGTGTAAAAATTATTGATTTTAAAGATATCGTGACAATATCATTATCAGGAGTTGGGGCAAAAATATTAAGATATTTATTTTTGCCCATATCGCCCACTCCACAAGTAAGAATTTGCATTGAACATGATGGCCCAAAATAGTGTTTATATGATGTTTTAGATAGTGATATTTTCTCCTAAAATTATTTTTTCCAAATGCATATTTTTTTATTCAATATGATTAAACATAAATCTAGGCCTGAAATGAATTAAAATGAACGTTTTCATGTTTGAGGTATCCATCCATCCATTTTCTTTCCCTTAATCCATTTCTGGGTAGGGGGGTGGCAGTCAGAGCTGCACCCAGCACACTTAGCACCAGCCCCTCACTGATCCTCCTGCAGGTTGTGAGTCCACAGGAGCTGAGATCTTTCAGCGGGGGCTTCGGGCAAAGTGAGGTTAAGTGTCTTGCCCAAGGACACAATGACAGCAGTCATCAGTGGGAGTCGTGAAGTAGGTCTTATGGTGGGCTCAAACCCACGACCTTCAGGCTCAAAGGCCAATGCTCTACCAACTGAGCCACTGTCGCCCTTGACGTATTATAACAAAGTAGAGCTGCAACTAACGATTATTTTGTAATCGATTAATCTATCAATTATTTTTACGATTAATCGAGTAATTGCTTGGCTGTGAATTGTGTAGAAAAAAAATATTTTTTCATCACAAAAAGCTAAAGTGGCAACACTCGAGGACGTATTGATGGCGTAAACTTGAAGTAAATGTTTGTAACAGGCTCTTTGTGTGAGCTAACATAAAATTCAATCAGGGTCTTACATTTATTGCCATCAAGAAATAGACACTGACCATGATTTTAATGATAAAATCATGGTTAAGACAACATCAGCTCCCAACTCCTCCGCTCCTGTGCAGATCAACTCTGTGGAGTGACGGAGCACGTCTTTAACCTGAGTCTCAGTCTGAGGTCGGTACAACAGCTTTCAGTTGACTTCAGGCCAGTGTCTTTGACTTTCCACCTCATTCGCTCCACTCTGAGCCCAGCAATGGACTCGCTGCAGTTTTGGTACCAGCCAGGCACAGGAGTGGAGGACGCCATCATCTCCCTCCTCCACCGCTGTGAGAATTATATTCTTCAATTTCTCCAATGCCTTCAACACCATCCTGTCATGGCTTCTCAGGGACAAGCTGGAGACAGCTGGAGTGGACTACGACCTGTCCCAGTGGATCCTGGACTACCTCACAGACAGTTTGTGAGAACCAGGGACTTTGTTTCTGAGATCCTAACCTGCAGTGTGGGGGCTCCCCAGGGCACCTTTCTCGCGCCGTTCTTCTTCACCCTCTACATTGCGGACTTCAGACACAACATGGACGGTTGTTTCCAACAGAAGTTCTCTGACGACTGCCATCATCGGACTCATCTCAGAGGAGAGTACAGAGGACTAACACATGACTTTGTGGACTGGTTTCAGCGGAACCACTTTCTTATCAACGCGGGGAAGACTAAGACACTCACTCTGCCGCTTCAGCCCCAGTGAACATCCAGGAAAGGGATATTCAGAGAATGGACTTTTACCAGTACCTGGGTGTTCATTTGAACCACGATCTGGACTGGACTCATAACACAGACGCCCTTTTCTGCAGGACCCATCCTGATACTACGAGGGCATCAATCAGAAGCAGTGGTTGCCGTAGTACGGTGCCCTGGAAACCATGTTGACTAGGATAGGATTTTAACCTTTTTAAATTTTTTTAGTAGTAGGGGAAACCGGAGCACCAAGAGGAGACATACGCAGGCATGGGGAGAACAAGCAAACTCCACTTCTTGCTGAGACGCAAGAATGGTATCCACTGAGCCACCGTGCCGCCCCGCTATTGGCTATTATAGGGTCAGTCCAGAGAACCCAAAACAGTCCTCTTTGAATTAGCATATGGGCTAGGTAAGAATAAGAAACAAAATACATTTCCTTACGTGAGGGTATATGTTTGTTATTAGAATGCGGTGATGGTAAACAAAAAATCATTTTATCAGTCACTCTGTTTATTATGGACACTCCTTGCTGGTATGATAAGGGATGATATGGTAACCCACCTGGACTTGTGCACATTATGCATTGTAGTCTGTATTATTTATATTACTTTCTACAAAGTAAAAAGTTTCTAAAATAAGAATAAAAAACAATACATGTGTTTTTACATAGTGTACAGAGCTATCCTCATATCCATACTCATAGAGACTGGATAATGTAGTTAATTTTACATTTTAAAAGTAGTGAGTTGTCAGGTATAGCCCACTGTGCATGTGTATACTGTTTGTAGGATGTGTGAGGGCATCTTTCCTGTTTATATGATTATGTCACAATATTGACAATCCTGGTCCTAAATTCAGAATGTAACTTAGAACTGCTACAGAACTTTTTCTGTATTATGGTCAGTGGCGGCCGGCCAATAGAGGGCGCTAGGGCGCCGCCCCACCACTCACAACTTGCCATGTTACCTTGAATAAAACGTTAAAAAAAATAATAACATTAAAATATTTCGAAATTTATGTGTGTTTTATTTCAGATGTGGAAGAAATACTTTATAGTTTATGCTGAGTTGGATTGATTAAGCTCATCAGCGTTGTCTGTGTCGGACTGAGGACGTATTTCCGCCTCAGGGCGCAAAAGATTGCGCCCTGAGCCGTCTATGGACTCTCGTTAAAAGTTGTACATGCGCAGTAGCTCCTCTTCAATGCAAGAGATAAGACGATTTGGGGGCGCAGGAGAAGTGCGCCCTGAGGGGGCGGGATCGCCCGCGACCTGTACTGTCACTGTCTGTGACGTCCGTTTACAGTGATTGACAGGTCAAGCTGTGGGAGTTTGAGACGAACGTAAAGAGACGCAAAATGGAGAACGAGAAAAAATTCAGTTAGATCACTCAAAACAATACCGTTTGAGAGAAGATCATACCAGGAGAAGGTTGAGGTTAAAGAGCTTGGACCTGATCAGCCAAATATTACCATTAGTCAGCAGTCCAGCGACAGAGGGAGACGGTACACTCGTACTTTTTCCAGGACCTGGTTCAGCGCCAAATCTTGGCTAGCAGCATGTAGCGAGGCTAATGCTTTATTTTGCTTTCCATGCCTCTTGTTTCAAACATCAGGATCTGACCCAGCATGGATCAAGACAGGTATGACTGATCTGAAGCACTTTTTAGAAAAGGCAAAGAAGCATGAGCAGACTGGTATCCACATGCAAAATGCCCTCAAATTAGCTATGTTTGGGAAGATAAATATTTCATTCTCGTGTGAGGCTTCAGTCACAACAGTCAGTGTAAACTTACTTACTGCTGGTATATATCTAGTCATCATATTCATAGCCCCCCCAGTAGAAAATTCCACCAGCCGCCACTGATTATGGTATAGTGGTACTGACATTGTGGTACAGACATTTGAAGCTTCTTGATATCATTATAATGTGACACAAAGATTATATATTTGACAATATATTTGATGTGCCGTCTGATCAACAGTCTGTATAATGTCATGCTTTGTGATTACTGATTCTGGTTTACTTTACGACAACCCCAAACAAAAGAAAAGCCCGGATAGGACCAGTGGACCACATCTCACATGTGGTCGGAAATCTATCAAAGCAATGATATCTTGTAATCACATGTATGTTTGTTTATTTATCCATTTATGGCTTGTCTAAAATGTAACTGTTGTTTATAAGTTACCAGTATGCTACACTTACCATGGCAGATGCCGGAAGAGAGCTGGTGCTGATGCTGGTGGTGACACTGTTGGGGTGTCGTGTGCGCACACTTGGCCCAGTCATGACGGCCGGGGCCACACTGCCGGCCACCGGTTTGACTCCCAGTTGAGGGGGCTGGGTCAGTGACTGCTGACTGTTCAGCAAGGACAGCCTTAGGGCCGGAAGGCTTTTCTGTTGGTCAGAGTGATATATTTAGGTTTATTTTCTAGTTCTGTATTCACATTTAATATAATAATACTATGTCACAATAGAAATACATTTCTAAATTCCACCCCAAACAATCATAGCTGACATCTCAAATATAATCAATGTCGGGCTTTTTCTGAAAACAGTTTGTGGATTCCTCAGTTGTAATACAGTTTAGCACAATTCAGCTAAACCATAGAGGCCAGAAGAAAATTAGTCCAATCCCCGGTTTCATAATTTGGACATTGACATTGACATTGACAAAAGGTAAAGTCGATTAATTGAATACATTATATGTATTGCCCAGAACAAGTGTTGGATCAGATTTTATTTCACATGTGTTTTGAGAAATCAGACTTTAAGATCTTAACTTGAGGCAAGACGTAATACTGCATTTAAAGCTATTGTAATGATAAACCTTGCCAAGATAAAGTAATTAAACTCTGATTATGGGAGAGATTCAAATATATTTTAACCTTCAGAAATGGCACCAGGTAAGGTTGTGGAGATGATTTCAGCTCAGCCTGGAGGCGGCTGGTAAACTCCTCTGGCTCAATCTTGGCATCCTGTTAATGAAATAAAAACATTGTGTTAATGATTGAAGTAAGAGGCAGACAGATTTCTAGACAGGAATTATGCTAGGAAATACTTTATGCTGCCATCTTCAGGACGGAAAAAGGCAATGCAAGTGATGAAATATTATCTTTGACTTACCAGCAAATCCTGAACCAGAGCTTTGACATTCTTCGATGTCTCAGGGGATGGAGAGTTGTGAGATGCGAGTTTGATCAGTGTAGCCAAAAAATTCTTACATTTCTTTACATTCTCTTGCATCTCCTGAGAAATAAAACAATAAACAGACAGATCAAATCTGCAAAGATTAGCAGCCAGACTTCCGTCATTCATTTTCAACATATTCATTTTATTGCCCTGCACTTTGCAGAACAGTAAATGTAGGTTTTACTGAATGTAGGCTCACCGTTTGTCCTTGGGATGTTGCATGTGTGAATGCAAGTGTGAGAGTGTCCACTGCCAGCTGTGAGAGGCTGTGAGACCAAAGCTATGCCTGTGACACAGCCAGCATGCTGGCAGCTGTGACAGCACCTGCCCTTAGAGGATGAAGTGTGGAGAGGAAGACGGGTAGTGAACAAACCTGGGACACGACAGGTGCTCCGGGTGTGGCTGCAATGGCCGGCGATTGCACTGGCTGAGAAGCAGCCTGGGACGAAGCTTGGGGGGCCATCACCACAGGGGTCTGCTGCGTAGACGTCACAGCAATTGCCACGGGGCCTTTCTGAAAGAGTGCAGAGAGACAGAGAGATAAACAAAACGTGACGCTGCTCGGAGCAAGGCCACAGAGAACAGGAGGCAAGCGCCACAGCGTTCCTGTCACATCTGGTGTCCTGACTTCAGCGTCACTCAACAAACAAGGAAGAGGAACAGGCTGGAGGCTGAGAGAAACCAAAGGCCTTCAGAAACATCTTCAGGATCACTCTTATCTCAAGCTTAAGTACGAAATCATGTTTTTATACGTGAATATACCCTGGTTAACTACCATAACACAACCAGTCAGCAGTCTACAATGTATCAATCATCTTCAAAATTGCAAAACCTATTGAAACTTTGCTCATTCAGACAAACCAAGCAGAGACAGCAGGAGTAAAAGTGAGCTGAGTGGGAGTACATTACGGCTAACATGTTAATGCAGTGACCGTAATGCAGAGATTTTGCATAGCACATTTGTGAGGCATATAATAATAACAATAATAACAATAATAATGCGAATGGTGTCTTTGTTATATTGAAGGATGAGTCAATGCAGATAATATATTTATCTTTTGAGGGTGTACCTTTACATTTTGTGAACTTAAAAAGCGTTCAAAATATTCTTGCAAGGATGCAATTTTTAAAAATGGTAAAAAAAATATTCCAGCTAATTTTTTAAACTACAAAAAAAAGGGGTGGAAGTGAAAGGAAACAAACAGAAGTAGAGTCTCACAGGGCGCAGTGTAGGACAGGAGGAAGAGGAGGAAGACTGAGGGGTCTGGTAACCAGGAGGACAGGGAGAGGTCTTAGCTGGGGTCAAAGCACTCTGCCTGTTGGTCTGGGGGGTCACAGGAGACTGCAGAAGAGCAACAGACATGAGACAAAGACAAGTTAGCACAACACAACAGATAAATACTAGGGCTGATTAACATGTCTTTATTATTATCTTTATTCATCAATGTTTGTTTTTTGCAAATGCTTACACATATTTTGTGTCTAGCTAAACATTTACAGGATATTGGTATCAGATATCTGCGCTTTCTTTGGAGCATGACTATCGGTTGGACTCAAAGAGGGGGAAGCAGTTATTTTCAAACACCGTGCACAGGGGGGGGGGGGGGGGGGGGGGGGGGGGGGGTCTTCCATCTCCCTGCCTAGAGTCACCAAGGTGGTGGGCAGCCTCCTTGGTGGCAAGGCTCCGGGAGTGGATGAGATCCGTCCTGAATATCTAAAGTCTCTGAATGTTTTTGTCTTAAACGGTGATGCTAATGGAGTGGCAGAACGGGGTGGTGGTCCCTCTCTACAAGGGGGACCGTAGGGTGTGTTCCAATTATTGGGGGATTACACTCCTCAGCCTCCCCAGTAAGGTCTCCTTCAAGGTACAGGAGAGGAGACTTCGACCAATGGTCGAATCTCGGATTCAGGAGGAGCAGTGTGGTTTTCGTCCCGCGAAAGTTATGGAGTTATTCTCTCCAGCGGATACTGGAGGGTTCATGGGAGTTCTCCCCCAACCTGTCCACATGAGCTTTGTGGATTTGGAGAAGGCGTTTGGCCATGTTACCCGGGGTGTCCTTTGGGGGGTTCTCCGGGAGTATGGGGTCCAGGGTCCTCTGCTGAGGGCCGTCCGGTCCCTGTATGACCGAAGTGGGAACTGCATTCGCATTGCCGGCAGTAAGTCTGACCAGTTCCCGGTGCATGTTGGCCACCACTAAGGCTGCCCTTTGTCACCGGTTCTGTTCACTGTCTTTATGGACATAATTTCTAGGCACTGCCGAGGGCCAGAGGGGGTCTGGTTTGGAGACGATGTTGTCCTGTTAGCTCTAACGAAACCAAGACCTGCAACATGCACTGTGACGGTTTGCAGCAGAGTGTGTAGGTGCTAGGATGAGAATCAGCACCTCTAAATCTGAGGCCATGGTGCTTTATCGGAAAAGGTGCTTTGACCTCTCCAAGTGGGTGGAGGACCTCTCCAAGTGCAGGAGGGTCTGTTAGACTGTTAGTGGGTCTAACAAAAAGGACTGTGGTGATGATCCAGGACACAACATTCTACAACATTTATGGACATTTGTCAACTCCCCCTAAGGACCAATACCTATGTGTTCTATATTTTTTGTGTTTGAACTGTTTGATTCTCTGATATGTCTTAGCAATTTCAACGGTTTTGTCAAGTCCTCTGAGATAACTAATGTTGTGATTTTGGGCTACACAAGAATAAATGTTATTGAATTGAATTGAATCTCAGGGTCTTGTTCACAAGTAAGGGAAGGATGGAGCGTGAGTATCACAGGCAGATTGGTGCAGCGTGCGCATTGATGCGGTCGCTGTATCAGACGCTGAGGTAAAGAGGTAGCTGAGCCGAAAGGCAAAGCTCCTCAATCTTTGATTCCTCCCTCACCTATGGTCATGATCGTCAAGAGGAACCAGCTGAGGTGGCTCGGGCATCTGTTCTGGATGCCTCCTGGAAGCCTCCCTAAGGAGGTGTTCTGTGCATGTCCCACCGGTAGGAGACCCCTGGTAAGACCAAGGACACGCTGGCGGGACTATGTCTCCCAGCTGGTCTGGGAACGACTTGGGCTCCCCCCGGATGAGCTGGAGGAAGTGTGTGTTGATAGGCGTTTCTGGTTAGACTGCTGCGCACACGACCCGGCAAACGGATGAAGCGGAGGAAAATGGATGGATGGATGATATTAACCATGAACAGTTATAACTCAATTTTATTCGTACAAAGCTCTTTGGATGTTGCTTTTAAGATAAATATATAGGAGAGGATGGAGGATGGTTCAGGAGCAGAAAAAGGATGACGTTAAAAATACAATTGAGCTTGATTCCCTACTTGTATCATTAATGTACAAAACTATATCTGTCTTTCTGTTAGAAAACTAAAAATGTTATGGGAGGGCTTTTACAATATTATTGGTAAAGTTCAGAAAGAGGTAATCCAGATCACCGTCTGAATTCAGGAAGGTGTAAATGAATGGAACTAACCAAATTCCAACTATTTCAGTTTGGAATTTGGATTGCTTCGCACCAGTGTGAAGGAAGGTATGAAAAGGCACAAAAGAATGCGCTGAAAGCTAAGAATGACAGCACAATTTACAATACATAACAATCCAAAGTCTAACACAGTATAAGTATGCAGGAAGAAAAGAGACAAAATTGAGGGTTGAAAAAAATGTGGACTTGACACAAGACCAACTTCACAAGTGCCAAAACTCTGACAAGAAAAAAAGTGAAATAGAAAAGTAGGATAACAAGCGGGAGGAGGAACAGTGTAATAAAAGTTTTGTATCATTTAAAATATGTTTACAAAGGAAGTGAGTGAATAAAGGGTGGTGGAGGAGCAGGCAAGGCTGAGAGATATTTAGAGCCACCGGGGTCTCACCATCAGCATCCAGCTCCTGCTCTGTGTCTCACATACACAAACTAGAGTTCCAAAGCCTTGTTAGGTTTTTAAAATAATCAGGCAGTTGGATGATGAATGATTTAACAGGTATGGAAGGAAGGAAGCTCAGGATGCCTTCCGTTTCTCCCCTCAGGGTCATGGGAAGAGTGACAGGCCGACAGAGGCACTGAGCCTTGGGAATAAACACCATTCCCTTTCATTTCTCTGCTTCTGCTTTTCCTGTTGAGATGGAAATGCCCCGGCCTGCTAATTTGTCATCAATGTGACTGAAAGCCTATGACAGTCTGTGACTCTCTTTACAAGGGACTTTGCTTAAGGACTCATTCGGAATGCAAGCTAACCTTGATTTTTGTAACATGTATTTATCTTTTTTTTCAAGCATGGTTGCGTCGTTTCAATATGCAAAAACATGCAATTGAGTCATATAGCCAAATCAACCCTTGTTTTATATACAAGGGCATTATGTATTGTTCTGTATTTCACAATATGATTATCAGCTCTCATAAACTACTCAGTTAAAGCAATAGTGATAATATCGCCAAGCTTAATTAGTGCTACTACTTCTCAGAAATGCAATAAACTACTGCCCCCTTGTGCATATTTTCAGTACTTTCTGTAAATTATAATAAGGTCTCAGTTGAATTTCTAGTTTTTTTTTATATACATATATACTGTATATTCTGTTTGACAATATTGCAAATACACACCTTACAAAAGCTTTTTCAGTCATAATTTTTACATCAATGATTTATCTACAAGTGAAAATGGGCAACATCCTATGAATAATTGTGGGCCCTTTTAAAGTTTGATGAGAGAATTCCCAAAATGATGAATAAATTATAAACAATGACACGTTAATTTGCCTATTATTAATACGTATCTTATGATTTGCTAAACCTTAACCATTGTTTGTGGTGTTTAGGAATCATGACATTGATTTGAAAAGTATAAAACAAATAGATACATAGTAGCAATATAATGAATATGTTATTCAATAGTTGCAAGAGACGGGTAGAAAGCAGGATCAAATGTCAAAGAAATTTAATATTAGCAGTGGTAATATTATACAATATAACTGAAAGCCTGGTCTCATTAAATCTATGAAGCTAAGCAGGGAAGGGTCTGGTTAGTCCAGGGATGGGAGACCTCTTGTCATGGATGTCATTTTTAGTTCCTGTTTTAATTTGTTATTTGTCTGTTCTCCTGTGTCTTTTTGAGTTTTACTTCCTGTTCTGTTGATTGCCCTGATGTGTTTCACCTGTGTCTCCCAGTTAAATTCCCTGTGCTCTTTCCCTCTTGTTGTCAGTCCACTGAATGTTTGTTCTGTGGATCTTGTCTTTGTCTTCCTTTCGTATGTGTTTATTAGTGATGGCAATATGAAGCCCCATGAAGCCTTGAGGGATCGCAGCCTATTACTCGGCCCATAAGTCGAAGGCTCGAGGTGAATCATGCTCCACTACGCCATCATGTGGAAAAAGAAATACATAACACTCTTAAGTGCTTACAATGAATGGTGAGATCTAATGTTAAAATGTATATTTACAATCTATGGTCTAACGTGTTGTGTTTGAAATAATGCTTCATGAACTATGAACTATTTGAGTCTTTCAGTCAATTGTGTTGATACAACAAACACATCCAAAGTAATACAGTTCTACAGAAACTGATTAATGGGGGGAAAACTACCAAGAGGTGGATTAATTAAACACAACAAACCATTTATTCCCAATAAATAAATACATTTACTTTGCAACACAAAATTTATTATGGGTAGACCAGGATTCCAAAGCTATATCTTCTACTTCGGAGTCCGTCATAGACCGACTGCGCCACACAGCTGTTGTGAAATGTATTATCCAGCGTATTATTACTAATAACTTGAAGCCTTGATATATGAGGATTTACTTAAGTGAAACGTTTTTAATTGTATTTCATATGAAGTAGTTTCTCTATACTTAGTACAGGACTGCTCCACATCACGCACACACACGTACGCACACAGAGGCAGACGGGGACAGCCAATACAGTCTATGGTACAGCCGTGGATCACAAAGCACCTGTCAAAGCAATGCACTCTCCGAACTATATGAAGCACTATATGAACCGTCACGTGGTGCGGCCGCTACGCGAGGCTTCGAACGTCACCACATACGTCACCAACAGACGCCTCAAACCACGCTTCGAAAAACACGCCCCTTTTTTACTCGGTACACGCTTCGAAGACCCGGCACGCTCAGCACATCACTAGTGTTTATATTCAGTAAGGTTTTATTTTTTGGATTCTTGTTTATTAAATTATATTATTTTTGAAGTATTGAATTTTGGGTCCTCCTTCCTCCTTTCGCCACGTAATACTGACTGTAAAGTGCCAAACTGTTTTTATAATTAGTAAAACATTAAAAAACGAAGTTTCAGAAAATAAAATAAAAACATAATAAGGTTAACATAGTTTGTAACATAAATAGAAAGTAACTTTTTCAAACATAAATGAATGCTATACATATAAGGAGACCCTGATGAGTCAGAAGTAGGGGTGTGACGATATATCGATTTTTCGATATATCGCGATACTTTCTCCCGCGATTTGATTATCGATATGCATTTGCCAAGAATCGATATCAATTTTAATTGGTATCAATACTTAATATATGGATACATTACGCATCTCCATTCTATTTATCATGAAATAAAGAGTATTTTTTCTTGTATTTTTGCCATAAATTGGCATATTGTATATTTCTGACCAATATATCAATAATCGTCATATCGTGATAAAATTGTTATCGTGATATCGTTATCGTGATATTATCGTTATCGTGAGCTTTGTATCGTGTATTGTATCGTATCGTGAGGTACCCTTAGGTTCCCACCCCTAGTCAGAAGTCGAGTTGAGTCTGACCTGTGGAGTTGTGCCTCTGAAGGATGTCCCTGTGTTGGGTGTAGTGGGTCGTGGGCTGTTGTTCTGGGCCTGGGCCTGGGCCTGAGCCTGAGCCTGTACCTGGGCCAGGGCCTGCTGAGGGACCATCACGAGCTGTCCGAGTTCTGTGCGCACCAACACCATTCCTGCAGACAGAGTACACACGCTGTTAGGGTTCACTAATGATTCCCACTTTAGACCCTTCCTTTGTTTTTTCTTGTTTTATATTATGATACAATGTTTACCTATTTTGTCATGTGGAATTGGATTAATACAAATCTAAACCTAAGGCTACAGCTGGAAACAAATCTCTTATTGGTACACTGAACGTTTAAAAACAAATATTAGTTTTATTTCACTACAAATATGCACTTGCAATCTATAAAATTCGTCCTGGATGTGTTGGTGGCTACAAGGACCCATCATAGCATCTCTTTGATCTTGCAGCAAAACTTAATTACTGTTCTAAATGATTTTCGGGGGGGTTCGACTCTTTATTGTTCTGCCACAGAAACCTGTGTGTGTGTGTGTGTGTGTGTGTGTGTGTGTGGGGGGGGGGGTAGAAATGGTCAACCTGTACAAAGCACATTTGACCTATTCTGGATAAAAACGTGAAGTTATTCGTAACTAATAATACAATGGAGATGGCATCCATAATATTAATGTTTTCAACCAGATTATCCAAAAAGTTAGCAAAATGAGACTATAGGTTGGGTTGCCAGTTGCCAATTAGCTGGTTTTGGTTTATTTTATCTTTCATTCAAAATTTAGATACAAAAATAAGTGGCTGTAAGTAATACACAGAGTTCGTAGTGTTTCTAACAAAACCCTTGTAGGTGGTTTCCATCAGTGCCTAGAAGCTACATGTGTCACTGGCAAGATTATGCCAACTAAAGTCAGATTATTATTGTAATTACTTTATTAAACCAACAAGAGTGCATGTTACATTGCCTTTAATGCAAGTTTTAGAGTCACACTTTCAGGACTGTAATTATCAATAATTTTAGTAATCAAGTAATCCATCATTGTGAGTCCATTATTACCTTTGCTTATATATATTTTGACTTCCCACAAAAAGTTTTCTTTAATTTTTGTATTTTTTTTTTACTATGATTAAAAGTTAAAATAGAGAAGAGGTTTCTGTATGAAAAACATTTGTAATCTTTTAATCACTGTGTTGCATTTTGGCTCCATGCGGAACAAGTGCTGAGTTACATGAACATTGTGCTACAATTTCATACTGGATTATATAAATATAAACCATCAAGGCAATCAACTTGTAATTAAAGCTTTTTGTCATTGAACAATAACTATTTCAATAGATCAATCAAGAACAAAAACTTCCCAGTGCAATGGTCTCCCATTATACACCAGTCATGACGTATTTTTGTTCCAACACTTTTTTCCCGTTTTGGGAAAGTACCTGTAAAATGGTACCCAGATATAAGTGCTTATATACAGTAACAACCACCTCAGCACTCACTCTTGTGACCGTGCGTTCTGGGGCCTAGGACCACTTTAACTGAGGTGTAGGTTGTGCTTGTGACCGCGGCCTAAGGTGAACTGCATGAATAATTATATGTTTAAAGTATGTCTTTATTTGTAAGTCTGCATATTCAGGGCTGGGAGTATAAACCTTACCAGGAGGAATGGTGAACCCAGGGGGAAGCTGAATGGTTGTTTGCTGTTGAGGTGGTCTGACAATCAGCTGAGGGGTTGCAATCCTTTGTGGGCTTGGGGCTCCTGGACAGAGCTGCGCACAGGTGACCACAGCAGGAGATGGAGATGGAGCTGCCGGTCTCATCAAGGAAGAAGCTGTCGTTACTGGTGTAGTTTGCACAGTATCACATGTTCTAGATGAAGTTGTCACTACTGAGACATTACTGGGAGCCACTGTGGCAGAGTTCAAAGGTTGACTGGTGCTTGTACTGGTTACTGCTGTTGTTGCAGCTTGTGTAGTTGTGGTGGGGGGTGAGGCAGCTACAGATGTCAAAGAGTTCTTATCTGATTTCATATTGGGTGCCTGACTTGACAGTTCAGATTTTGAAGGAGATTCTTCATTACAGGAAGCCACTGCATCTCTGGCCTCTTTAGTGCTGTGTTGAGCTGCTGTTGTGATGACAGGTTTTATGTTTGCAACCCGACCATCCAAAGCTGATGCACTAGTGCCGTTTTGGGCTATGCTGGCCACAATATGGTTAGGCAATCTGTGGAGAGCAATAGTAGGAATACCTCTGTCCAGAGCAATAGCAGCCTGTCCTGAGGAAAGGGTAAATGTTGAATTGTTCACAGAGGGAGGAGCAGGCCTGGGGGAGTTAGGAGATGCGCTGCTCCTCCTCGTTGACACGGCGGCTCCGTTCAAACTCTTAACCCGGGCAGCAGCGGTCCTTCGTGGGGTGCTTATGCGCTTTCTCGGGGATATAACCGAGGGCTCGCTAGGACTGGAGCAGGACTTGTGACTTCGGTTTGCCGCGGTGCTGATGCTGACTGTAGATGTGAGAGTTGTCACAGGTTGTGTTGTGGTGGATGTTCCATGTGACGGGATGCTGGTGGAGGTGGTGATCACAGCCGGAGATGGCTCACCCAAAGACCGCGGACAGTCCGAAGAACGAGGGGTGCTGCTTTTATCTGAATGAATGCTTTTGGAAAGATGACTCTGGCGCATCCCGGGTTTATTACAGCGTCCTTGTTGTTGTTGATGTTCCTGTGTTGTGGTGTGTCCTGGAGTAGGGAGCTGATGGTTGTGGTTAGCGTGTGCCACTGAGCCAGCCCCTCCGTTCTCCTCTGCTTTACGCGCTGTGCTGTTCTGGCCTGAGAGCTGAGACTCCAGGGATCCCACCAGGTCACTCACAGCCTTTTCATCCACCTCTGAAAACAGCATATCTTCCAGGGGGTCGGAGGCGCCCGCCATCTCTGCTCACAGAAAACTGTCGTATTTTTCATGGCGCATGCGTGTTACTAGGCATTGTGGGAATGAGTTTTACGTCATTACATAAAGAGAGCAGACACTTCAGTCCATGGAAGTTGAATATTATATCATCTATCGTCGAATACTTTTAAAGCCATATCCATACATTTACATTTCTGATCAAAACGCTATGTATCTTTCTACACGAATTCCAGCATTATAACAATACAGTTTATGATTATAACCTAACTATTACTAGGTTACTACCAGAATCAAAAGTATAGTGTTTAAAGCAGACACTATATTCGTATTCATGCTCTCACTTTGACTAGTGTTTTGCAACCAGGGGTATATGGATCCCTAGGGGTAGTCGAGGTAATTACAGGGATTACTTGAAATATTATTAAAAGTTCATATTCAATTATAAACATTGAACACATAATTCAATCAATAACTAATACAGAACTATCAGTTTGCAATAACTATTTTCCTCAAATCTAGAATGGTCTTCCTGAAAAAGCTTTGGCTCTGGAAATGCTCAGATTCAGATAGTTCTTTTAGCTGTATACAAAAGTTAATTGCATGCCCCATGATGTCACCATTTACACAGGAAGGATTAGTTAATAACAATATGGACAAACTGTTATGACATTTGTAAAATCTTTAGAAAAATCCCTAAATATTGTTTTAGATGTATATTTTCTTGGGATTCTGTATTATATTTGAGATATTTAAGAGACTATTGCATTCTTACCTCAATAACAATTACACATCTGCTAATTAATTTCAACCTGCAACAGCTTGTTGTTCACATACATTTATTTCAAACTCTGGAGTGGCCAGATATTCATAATATAATATGCACAATCTGAGTGTCTCTATCCATGCCAAATGTGACATGTAAATTTCTCCTCTGTGAGATAAATAAAGCTTATCTTATCTTATCTTAATTAAAAACATGAAATGTTAAGAGGCCATTCAGAAGCAAGCATATTTTTGGGGGCAAAATATTTTTATTTATTTCTATTGTTATTGAATAAAAAAAAACAAAAAAAAAAACATTAAAAGACTGAGGAGGTGAGGCATCCTATCCCTAAACCATACTTTAATTATTAATGATATGGTATTTATTGTAGGATTATAATTATTATCATTGTTATTCATATATTTTATTTATGTATCCATAGCTTTTTTTTCAGGATGGGGTTACTCTTATTTTAGCCCTGAAATTCCATCAGTCTGTGGCACCAATATTTAAAGTTATACTATTTCGTTTTTTTATTCAACTAAAATGAAATAATACATTCTATTTAATACAAACATATTTTCTCATTATTTCACAACTGACTCTGTCAAACGGCGTCCCACAAACGGACACATGAAAAAAAGCTTTGTCCTGTTTTTTGCCCCCCATTCCCACCACCCACCGTTTTCTCCCATGATGCTTTGCGACAGGTGAAGAGACAAAATCGGCCATGTCGCGTTGAGATAAATCTTTCTAAAACCCTGTGGCTAACTCATTTCTCCCGTGTGATGTAGTTAGCTTGGTTGAGTGTTGCCGTTTTCATTACTGACTCTAGTCTTAGCCTCTGTTCGCAAACTCGCTTTTATTCAGCGTTTGCATTTCCGCGCACCATCATGAGTGGAGGAGGGACGCCTTACATCGGCAGCAAGATTAGCCTCATCTCAAAGGCCGGAATCCGCTATGAAGGCGTTTTGTACACTATTGATACAGTAAACTCGACTGTGGCTCTAGCGAAAGGTAAGATCAATTACACGGCTTGAGTAAATAAAAAAAAAAACAGCGTCGAGATGTGTTTAATGTAAAAATGACATGTCGCGTTGGCTAGCTGGTTAGCCTAGACACAGCTAGTGTTGGGTGTCCCCTTCAGTTCTTTGTTTAGGTTTCTTTGGACGAAATGGGAACAAAATCCGGATAGTTTCCACGTTTTCCAACTTGGTACAGAAGAGTAATGGAATTTTAGAATCGTGACCAATAAAATAAACACTGAGTGAAATGTAGCTGTCAGATGTCGTCCACTCTGTAAAGTCTAAAGATTAAATGTATGAGTTCATGTTCATCCATGTTTTCATCCTCTTCACAGTTCGTTCTTTTGGGACTGAAGACAGGCCAACTGACAGACCTATTCCTCCTCGAGATGAGATATTTGAGTACATCATCTTTAGGGGCAGTGACATCAAAGATCTGACCGTCTGTGAGGCACCCAAAACTACTACCTCACCTCCACATGATCCTGCCATTGTTCAAGTGTGTTCAAAGGATTTGCATTATTGTTCGTTGAGCCCAAAAATGATTTATACTAAATGTGGTGTTTTCAGTCTTCACTTGGATCTTCTGCAAGTGGAGGTGCATCATCACCTGCATTTCAGTCTTCTGCTTCCTTCAGCAATGTGCCTGTGGCACCTTACGCCCAATTTGGAGTTGCCCATCAATTTGGAGCACCTCTTGCAGGTAACATCCATTTAAAACATGTTTACTTATGTCATAAGATAAGATAAGGTAGACTTTATTGCTCTCACACTGGAGAAATTTGGTCACATTTGGCGTAGATAGAATCACTCTGGTTGTGCAAAAGACAGTGTGCTAACATTTTAAAGGTTGAAAATATAGTCTGTGCAGGATATATTATGTACAATAAATGTAATGGATGTTAAAATGTTTACAGAACGTGTGAGTCCCCCGCCTAATGTCTTGACACAAAAACCAACTCTAGAGCTGGGGAAACCACCTCAATCTGCAGCTCCACCAGCACCAGTCGGGCAAAGGACTCAAATGGTAACATCGGTCTCCAAGACACCCACCTCTACTATCATCAACCAAAAGCCTCCAGATCTATTGGAACAGAGAAAACGTGAGCAAAATCAATTCTCACAAGTGACTGAACTCATGGGAAACATGTGCTTTATTATTACTTCTACGTAGATGTAAAAACATTTTAGTTTAATTCCAACCTCATGTGTTTCCAGCATTAGATGTTCAGAAATTGCCTGAGGCAGAAAATTACACTGTCGCTGCTGAAAGCCAAGAAGCAAAGCGTCATGCTGGTAAGAAGTTTGTATTCAGTTTTACTGCTTCCACGTAAATACAATACAGCCAAAACATAATGCATGTTTTCCTTTGTGCTCTCATTGCTTAGCAGGAAGGCTACCTCTTATCAAATACATCGCAGAAGCCGATCCTTTTCGCCAGTTTTTTTTTTTTGGTTATTCATATCACCAGTGGCAATGAGGATTAAAGCCTGGATATTTTTAGTGCACACGAAAGCATAGGCTATGAAATATTTGTATCTCAGTCAACTTACAGGGTTTTGCCTACGTGTGTAAGGGTTAGTTTTTCTCCTTTATGTGCATGTTTCATTGAGCCACCATGAACCGTGAATAGACATGTGCCCTGTGCATGTCGATGTAGGAAATCTGCTTCTTACTTTTAATCACTTTTCAAGTGAATTAAATGTGTTTTCCCTTGATGACAAAAATAAGGCAATGTATGTTTCTGCAGTTACCATTGGACTTAGATAGTTGTCATTTTAAGAAATCTAGGCATGGAAACGCAGATAATTTGTGGATTCAAATGTATTCAGATACCTAGCATTTGCCCATGTTTACCGTAGTTTAAACTTGTTTAGCAAGTGATGGCAATTCAGAGAACAGCAGTTGAAGCGTTCCTTTTTAGAGCCTACATGTTTCGACATGGGTTTATACTTTGGAGAGACCCACCATATGTGATAAGCACTGATTATGATACACACTACCTTGTTCTTTATAGCTGCTACTCAGGCTGTACGACGGGGTCGTGGAAGAGGAAACCGCAGCAGAGGCAGAGTGAACCTGCGCAGGGACGGTACTATAAAGTTTGAGGAAGATTTTGATTTTGAAACGTCCAATGCTCAGTTTCATAAAGAGGATATTGAAAAGGAATTTCAAAACAAGCTAAAACTCAAAGGTAAGCACCTGACCATCCTCACAGCTTTAGTCTGTACAGAATACTGACAATTTACTTTTGACACAATTTGTAGATGACAAAGCCGATAAACCCCTAAATGGAGAGGAAAGTGCTGAAACTGAGCCAGTAGTGAATGAGGGGGCTGCTGTGGAAGAAGCTGCCAGCACCTACTACGACAAGTCAAAGTCATTCTTTGATAACCTATCTTGTGATGGCTCAAGGTAATTTGTCTTCAGGGATGTTTTGAGAGTTTACAGGGTGGTTGGTGTTTAATACCTTAAAACCCGTGCTGTTGCGTTTTTGTTAAACTTGACAAATCTAATGTACTTGGAAAAGGAAATGATCATACCCAAAGGACTATAGGTCTGGTGGGAAAAAGCACTTCTTTTTTTTTTTTTTTAAGCCTAATCCTTGCTCCAATTTGAGTGGTTTGGAATTTCTCCTTCAAATGTGAATGCCCACTCTCTTGTAAATGTATTTTCACTTTCTTTTGGTACTTTGGTCACTGCCTTTATTACTTATCAATCTAATTTATCTATTTCCCTCTTAAGGAAAACGGGTGAAAGGGGATTTTTTAAGTAAGTATAAATATTTTGACCAATGTTGAAGGAGGCTGCTGTGGTCGACAAGACACATTAACATAATGCATTACCGAGTCACTTCATTTTGAAAAGGAATGTAGGCTCATTAAAGGTACTACTGACAGGACAGTCTTTAAGAAATGTCCAAATGTTTTGTTTTTTTTTCGTTTTTTCTTTAAAGCCTAAGTTGTCTGACATGCACACTCCCAGCAGTTAACTACTGAAACCTTACTGGCAAAGGGCAGTGAGACAGATGTAACTAAAAGTCCCACCCTAACAATGAGATATTTAAAGTTGAAACTGTCTTAATGTTCCCACTGTATAGAACAAGAGTTGGTAACCCACAACCATACAGCACTACATTTTACCATGTTGCTTCCTTTCACATTATTCAGTCCATTTTGTTTTGTTGCACAAATAAGTGTTTTTAATGTTGTTTGGTAGTGGCAGAGACAGGCGGCCCACCTGGGCTGAGGAGAGGCGCATGAATGCAGAGACTTTTGGTATCCCTCTGCGGCATAGAGGCCGTGGGGGCTTTCATGGCAGGGGAGGATTTGGGCCTCGAGGAAGTCGTGGACCCAGACCCTCTAGTCGGGGCTCTTTTGGACCGCCTCGCGGTGCCCCACCCGGGTTCAGAGGAGGATACAGAGGAGGAAGAGGACGAGACTTCTCTGACTTTGAATACAGGGTACATCTTTTTCATTTTGTTTTAAATGGGGGTGAAAAGTCTTTTGAGTGTTTAACTTTAACTTAACTTTCAGAAGGATAACAAAGTCGCAGGATAATTCGGCAAATGGACCATAAAGAAGTGAAGCCATTCATGATGAACTTTGTCACTTCAACAGCAACTGTACCCCTGTCCTTTTTTAATACTCTGAAAAGAAGCAAGTTTGAAGACTGAAAATAATTATTTTTCCATCAGTTAGTATTTTCTACAGAGGTTAATAATAATGCAAGCGACGTTTTTTTTTTTTTGTTACTGCGCATAGACTAGATTGGTTTTCTTGTCCAGCAAGTTGATGTATCAAAGCCAAAATAAGAAAACGCCTTCAAACTAAAATGGTGATTTATGAATGTATCTGCTGCTCAATTTTTTTCTGTCATTGTAGTTTTTAAAAGGAGCATAATGTTTTTCACCCCTTTTGAACTTATTTGTCAACGTTTTAGTCTGCGCACCTGTGGAAGTGATGCCTAAAAGCATGGGTTTTTTTCATGCATTATTTTGTCCATTGCATTTTTAACAATCTTGTTTAATTTGCCAAGCCATATAGATACTGTAAAATAACTTGGTCAATACTTGGTGTAAAGCTATTTTCTTGTACCAAGCATTCAAAATAATCTTTCAGTAAAAATAAAATTTGACATCTTTTTCCAAATTGTCTATTTATTTGTCTGGCCTAGACAAGACTGGAATCTAATGTTGGGATTTTTCTTTTTTTTTGCATGCGTTGTAAAACACTACTTGTATTACATGTTTGAATATACGGGCAGCAAAAGTAGTCTTGGGTGTTTACCTGAAGCCCCCGCTGAAACACTAAAGTGGAGTTAAGAGTCTTGAACAGAGACTCAACGACGGCACACATCAGTCGGAGCTGTTGATATGGGTCATGGTGGGATTGCACCTACGACCCTTGGGTCCAAACTGAGACACTGACTGACTTAACTTTCATAAACTACTTTATTTGCCAACACAACTGTGCTCAAATTTACTTAAACCATGGATCTATTAGACTTATACCATTTGGACCTGAACTCTGGTTGAAGTGACTACCGGTGGATCATCAAGACTATTGGCCCTCCCAATTATCAATCATGGTATGCGCTTGTCAAAAAAAAGTTTTGTTCAAAAAGTGGAGCGGGCGGTTTTATCCTAAAATTTGGGGAAATCAAGTAGTAAGAGTGGCAATCCGCTACCCGGTTACCATATGGTTTATAATCATTCAGGGGCATTGAAATTCTGGGTCTTGTGCCTCTAGTGGCCACACGTTCCACTGCACTGTGGCAAAATGCTTCACGGCCACGGGCTAGAACTGTGATTGAGCAAAATGAATGATACTTCTTAAAAAGTTAATTGTATATGTATTGTTGCATTAATCGTCCACATGATGGTGATAGAACTCCGCAGTCTGTAAGCCTCTAGTCCAGGAGAGGGCGCTACATGCCTGACTCTGTGTTCCTGACGTGGATGATGACGTAGCATTAGCTTAGCGTAAAAGTATCAACATGTCTCTAGTTTTTGTGCCTAAACGGCTTCGCGGGAAGGCGAAAGTTAGCCAAGAAACGATCCAACAAGTAAGTCATATTCCCACAAATAACGTAAGTTAAACCAGCACGGTTTAACTTAGCCCAGTTTTCCTTGTTGGAGCGATTGGACGGTACCTCGCTTGTCTTCTAGCTAACTTGACACGTTGTCTAATAATCATAAACAAATATTAAGAATGATGAGGGTTTTTATGCCTTGAGTTTGATCATTAATCAAGTACATTTTGTCAGCTGCTGGATGAGAACGACCAGTTGGTGAGATGCATCACTGAATACATGCAGAAGGGAAGAGCAGTGGAATGTGTGCAGTAAGTCCCATCGTGTCCATCTGTCTTCTTTAGATATCGTCATATTGATTATGTTTGAATATCAGATACCAACAGATATTGCACAGAAACCTAGTGTATTTGGCAACAATAGCGGATGCAAGTCCTGAGGCTGAACCAGCGGATTCATCTAAGGTACAACGTTGTCACGTGTTCTGTATCAAAATCAAGTGCGTCATATTTTGACTCAGTTTCTATGTTTCAGGTCACATCTGGTGAAGGCTCTTCCACATCTAATCATCACGTGGCTGGAACGTGAAAGAACTACTGCCATGTTGAATGTGTGAATTGTGATATTGGACATTTTACAAATCATGGAAACAAAGTAACTTAGTACTGCTAATAAATTTTATTTATTTTTTTGCATTGCTGGTACACTTGTAAAGATCCAGTTGCCAGCTCAAGTACAACAAGCAACATAAGCCAAGCAGTTCCCCTTCATATCTTCCATCAGGGCAACGTGTTTTATATTTACTCTGTAGAAGTTGCTAGTAAACCATTTGACACAGCTGAGAAGCCAACGGTTACAGTCCAGGGTCTGTCAAGATGTAGCGTTATGTGAAAAGGCTGCAACATTGGAGATTAACATAGACAAAAGCAACAAACCCTATATCTTGATTGTGCAAAGCACATTAACTATAAAAAGATATATTTATATGTATATACAGCAAACAATTCTCTGTAAACATGGTGTCTTCTCATAAATACAGGCAACATTGGCATCCGCAAACATCACAATAGATAACATTCTGGGTACTTAAATTCAACCCATTGCCATATGGAAACCAGAGAAACAAAGGATTCATAACACTCTCACATGTGTTTTGAATGGCATATTTGGTAACTCTTATAAGATGAAAGATTAACTATGAAAATGTGCTTTTCACAAGAAGGGTGGTGGAAAACATGTTTATGAAAAATGCCTACAAGAATACTAACATACAATGTTATAACATGTAAGAAAATATAAAAATAAGATTAATACTGTCAATTATGCACAAAAATATTGTAATATTCAAACCCTTAAGGGAGTTAGTGTTCATTTCAAACAAACTATCAACTGTAGAAACAAATAATGTTAAGTGAGTTATGTGAAGTCTCCCAATGCTTTCATTCACGAGGGTGCAACTACACTATATTTCAGACCATCGCTCTTCAGCACCTCATCTTTGCACACTTTGGTTGAAAAGATATTCTGCAAATGCTTTCAATACAAACATGGCACACAGTTGCTGCTATATTTCTGGTCAATTGTTGAAAAAGTAGTGTATGTCTCTCTAAATTACACCGCTGCAGTGACTATATTTATGCTGAGCCTGCTCAAAGCCTTTAAAAAAAAACTAAATATATTTCATTTTCAGTATTTTACAAACTACGAAACAGTAGGTTCTAGCTGTAGTCTGGCTCATCTTTGTGAGATTTGGCAGTTACAGCTATGTTGACACAGTATAATATGGGAAAGTATTCCTTGTCCATCCTCTTGCAGTAAATGTAGTCTCCAGATCTGGTCTGAGGTGATGGACTAGTTAGCTCAGACAGAAATTACCATTAGCCTATCTACTATAATTATAATGGCAGTTCAAGAAATGTCCATGTATGGTATGGGCAATCTGGTTCAATGTAAGTGGATTCTCAAACGTGTCTCACAGAAAATGAAGACTTCAGGCCCTCTAGTACTACCCTCAATACAACCCTTTATAATTAGTACTGGTGAAGGTAAGAAGGCCTGTGCTCTGGTTTGAGGGGAAAGGTCTTGAAGCCCTTGGTCATGTGTTTGTGTTGTTGTTGTTGCTGCTGTTGATGTTGTTGCTGCTGCTGCTGCTGGGTGAAAGAAAAACCAGAGGAGATTCCCGTGGCAGTAGAACAATCACTGGCATTGGACCACACGGGTGACTGAAGCATCTGCATTGAATCACTCCACTGTGATGAAGGCGGGATGTTCATCTGGTACAAGGAAGAGCTGGGATTGGGCATTGTGTTTGTATGAGTGTTGGAGTGTTGCCAGGGAGCTTTGGGAGGCCAGGTTTTAGTTTTGCTGTCCTGTAATAAAAATAAACCATGTTATTTCTATGTGTTTGGTCAACGCAAAAATAAGGGCAAATGACCTGGTTATCTTCCCCAAGGTGGTGAAGTGGTGTTGAGGGCAGTGTGCATGCCTCAGGTTCTCCACAGCTGTGTTTTCTGGGGGAAAAATGCAAGATAAAGTTCATGGCGAGATATTTTTTCAATATTTTGTTACCAGATTGGAACATACCTTCTCTGCTTAACAGCAGCCACAAGGTCAGGGCCAGAAAACATTGAGAACAGACTGTCCCCATTGGCTGAGGAGGTCTCATCACTAGAGCTTGCGGAATCTCCTTGGTTGGTTGACCAACTACTATTTACCGTATCTCTGAAAGGTAAATTAAATCAATCCTGAATAACTTAAGTCTTTACTTTCCTTCTTATTCCTGGCTCAGACTGGCTAAGCCCATGTTTACATGATTTTATTTTCTAGAACTGAATGCAGCACACAGTGCACACATACCCCTCATTGTAGTACTCAGGGTGAGACCAGGTCCTGTGCTGTTGCTCGTCTGGCATAGGCCAATTACTGCGATTGTTGCTCGGGCGACGAATGTGCTGCACTTGCCTTTTCTGCTGCATGGCCTGACTGACACCAGCCACATACCGTGCAAACTCAGGGTCAGACCCAACTGTGGAAACAATGAGAGGATAAAGGCAACTATAACTTTTTGGCAAAATCAGCTGTTCCGATTTACTGCTGATCTACAAAGCTATAGAGTGACTAGTAAAGTGAACATAATGGAAAGGATTTGACAAAACTATTGGTACAGTTTATTGTGTTTTGAGAATAGAAAATAATTGTTTTCTCCATCGCCAAGTTTTTGCATGTGGATTTTAATGTGAAAGGACTAATCAATGGGTTAGATTGAATTACTTTTAAAACAATCTCTCCACTTGTATTTGTAACCTCTAATCAAGCCCTGTTTTTGACACTGAAATCATACCAATGGCATAGTTTAGATGTTTAATTAGTCTGTATAAGTTAAATGCAACTTACCTGCAGGATCAAAGGGCAGATTGTCACCCAAGACACCAAAAGAGCCATCTCCCTGGTCTCTGTTAGGCCAAGTATTGTTGCGGGGCCCTTGAAGCTTTTGACCCAACATCTCATTCATCACACTGTCCATATATGTGCTGACCAGGCCCAGACTATACAGGTCTGAGCTGAGGTCTGGCAGTCCGTGGGAGCCCCACTGCCCAATGGGTCCCAGAGGAGAGAGAGATGGGGGAGGCTGTGTTGTTGGCTGCTGCCCAGACGTGCCAAGCCACTTGCTTGCCACTCTCTGTTGTGGCAGGACCTGAGGTGGAGCCGGTGGTGGAGGATGTGGAGACGCAGGCTGCTGCTGCTGTTGGCTGATGGGCTGCAGGAGGTGCTGGTAGAATGGCAGCGCCTGGGGAGAGGTCGGCTGAGCCACAGGGCCTTGCTGCTGAGGCGACTGCTGCTGTGGTGTTTGACAAGGGGCAGGCTGTGCTTGGGGCTGTGGTTGCGGTTTCTGGATTGGTGCCTGAGGTTGAGACTGAGACAAACTCTGGGCAGATTGGAGAGTCATGTGGGACATGGAGTGACATGTTGGGGCTCCACTGGGGGGCTTGAGCTCAGCGGGATTGGCGGAGGCCACAGAGTTTCTCCTTTTTACTAAGGGTGAGGCCTGCTGGGATTTACCCATATTAAATCCTGAGAGAAAGTCAATGACATCCTGCATCTCTTGGTCTGTGGGCAGATTCATTCCTTGGTCATCAGCCGTTGTTCCATTAGCTGGCTGGTTTTGTGTGGAGGCTGGGCCACAGGGCAAGCTGCCCATTGGTAAGATACATTGTGGCCTGCCATCACTGGTGCCTGGACTCTTCTTTTCTTCAGAACTATTGTTTGTTATCATGCTGCGAGATGGGGTGGTAGGAATAGAATAACTCCCTCCACTATTAGAGCTAGAAGAGACCTTTTTTGTGAATTTAGATGTCAGTTTGGATATAGTTTTTGGCAGTCCACTGGAGCTTTTTGAGCTGGTACCTGGGGGCATTTCTGTTTGGCTGCTGTAATCTGGACTCTCCCGCTGTAATTGAATCTGAATAGTAGGCAGGGCTTGCTCCCTTAAAAAAAGGAATAACATGTCATTTACAAGCCCTCATATCATTATGCTTTAAAACCTTTAACAACCCCAAAGACCTACTTTCTCTCCTTCCACTTGTTGATATCAAACACTGCAGTATAAAGAACATCTACAAGCCCAAGGGTCTTCTCCGGATCCAGACTCCTCTGAAGCAAGGACAAGGTAGACGGGTCTTCCTTTAGGCACCTAAATATATTTAAAAGAAAATTGTGTAAATTTTTGATCCAACCTTGCCACACATGTGAATCATAGTAAATACATTAAAATGCTCAAAGTTAAGCTCATAAGTATCCTAACACTGCCCTTACCATGTAGAAGGGACATGCACAAACACCTTAGATCCCTCCAGTGTAATTTGGGGGGCGTAGGCCTCTTTATTCTCTATTTGAGCTGTGTCAACAACCACCTGAAAATGCACATATTAGACAAATAATCAACATCATTGACTCAAGTAGAAAATTAAAGGTAAATAGGAGGATTTTCTTTTTCCGGGTGGATCATCAAGACTATTGGTCCTCATAATGGTAAATCATTCTGGTGATATGTCACATATGGCCACCGTACGTGCTCGTCAATATAATCTTTTTGAGATTCTTTCACACAATGGCGTGCGCTGAAAGCCCTACTCCACAAGTAAAATTTGGCATTCTATTTGGAGAAATCCATTTTAAATCACTTCCAGTAAAAGTTATCCATGTCTATATTGTCTGACATAGTGGAAAAAGTGCAAATATTCTTGGAAAGTGAGCTTGTATGAGCGATGCCAACAGTGACTTGTAAACAAGGAGAACTGGGCTCGTGCACGTCTCACACGTTTTAGTCTGCCTTCTCGGAGAAGGTAGAGCGTTGCACATGTAGAGGACGGTTCTTTCCTGAAATCCTATTTAAAAAAGGGTCAACATGTAGAAATCCTATTTGACCTTTCCTGAACAACAGTTTGAATTAGAGCTATTCATATAATTATACGATGGACATGATTTCCATAACAATAAATAAACCATTTTCAAGCAGATTATCCAATGAAAGAGCAGCTAGTTAGGTGACATTTAGCCGATATTGGCAATTAACTTCCAGAACAGGCACTTCCAACCTTACATCTGGATGGAGCAGATAATTTCAGATTTATATTTCAATCCGAACAAAAGAGAGGGCACAACAATATGCATGCCTAAAAATGAAAAACTCACCAAACCAGCTTGGGCAAAGAGAAGCTGGACGGCTGTCTTACATGCTCCTCTCCAGCTGGATGGGCAGACCTGGTTAAGAACTTCGGTTACTGGAGAATCATTGGGAGTTAGTCCATTTTGGCCCAAGACATCCTTTATGAGCTGCAACATTGTGTGCTGTAGAAAAAGAAAAACAAATTTACATTTGCAGGCAACAGTGTTCCACTATCAAAACAGGTTAGTGCAGGCTTATACTTTAAACTAAAGAACAAAATATTCTTCATAAATGTTACCTTGTTGGCATTTAAATAACAATCTTTACAATGATAAAATTGAATAAAACTACTACTAAATTGTAAGTAATCTTTGGACATGTTATTGAGCCACTCAGACACATCACACGATTCATTCACTCCGTAAATGATGCTAAACTACTACAAGTCACAGCTGCCCTGGAGTAGACTGGTTTGAAGTAAGGCAACTAATCTGAGTCATTGGCCCCTCTGACCATCACCAATCATTAAGATTCACACTGAAGTTTCTTGCCTAACACGCAATGACAGCCTCAGCCCCCCATCTGTAGCACCTGGTATTCCCAGAGGTCTTCCATCACAGTACTCACCAGGTCCTGCCCAGCTTAACTAGAATGTGCACTCTGAGTGAGCCAGAATGTGTTTTTTAATATTAATTTCTGATTCTAATGCTTGGGTTAGGGTCTAATGCTTGAGCCTCAGACATACTCACCATTTTAAGTTTAAGGTTGTCAGCTGCTGACTCATTAAAAGAAATGCCTTTGAGAAAATGTGAGCCGATCTGCACCGGGATGGTTGGGAGCTCACACTGGATTGGCTGAGAGGCGGTTTGCATCCTGCCGGCTTGCTGGGCCTCTGCATCACTACAACAGCCCTGTTCACAAATGTCACAAAAAGTACTTTTACTGCTCTGGTTTTATTTGAAAGTGCTGCAGACATCAGGACTGGGTATGATCTGTCCTGCAACGAGACCCATTGCACAGCATTGCACGCACACACTAAATAATAATGAGTTAATAAATAATTGTTCAATGTAGTTCTCAGAGTAATTTATGCCCCCCACTGCTGGACCTTAACTAATTGCACACTTGTGACCAGTCAACTTTTCAGATTCAGAGTTTTTCCATTGGGTGCTGGCCTCTCGTAGCCTCTGCTTTAAGACACTGGCTGTACATAGTGTCTTGTCAAAGTGCGGTTAACAGCAGCCATGCTCACATAATCCCAAGAGGGGATGAGTGAATTGAGGCACACCTTTACAGCACAATAGCGCTGACGACGTACATTGCTCCCAAAACAAATCATGAGGTCACCTTTTACCAAATGAACCCAAACGTGCTCATAGCTTCATCACGGACCTGATGGAGGTATTCAGAGACACACACCCTTGAGGGTGCGAGCTACCGGTTTATACACACGGATAAAAGAACATGGAAACGTGCGAGGGACAGGTGAAAAGTCACATTTGCTTAATAAGGCCCACGGATCAGGGGCCTTGACAGTTTATGGAACTATACTTGATGTATTTTCAAATGAGTTAAAAAAAATGCGTATTACTAAAAACAAGTTGTATTAAAATCCGTTATTTAATTTAAAACTTAAGCTCATTGATTCAGCTTGTCTTGTCTGCTGATAGGAGTTTTGCGTGACGCTAGCTCTCCTCCAATCACAGAACGAGGGGGGGTGCTGTTGCAAACAGGCTGCGTCCTCTAGCGTCTACAGCGCAGGTAAACACAGTAGCATATTAGCAGAATTGGCCATAACGCCTCTTGCTGTAACTGCAGACACAGCAAAACAGCCCAAACAACGCAACAGTGAGGAAGAGAAGAGGGAACTAAAGCGTAAAAATGATCAAAGAAGGAATCAAGCCCGGGGGAACATAAATAGCTTACATTTTATCCTCATCGTTGAGGGAGAGGGACAGCCTCGGACTACATTTGGACGCGAAACCAGCGGTAATCTTTCAGTTATATATTTTGTTAGCAGCACGTTGCTTTTGTACCATTTCATCAGTGATTGTTGTACAGCTTACAAGAAGTTGTGCTATTGCTAACGTTTGCATACGTATCAGATTGCAAATTAAACTAGATGGCTCCGTGGGAGGAGAGCGTAGGGGAGAGAAGGAGGGTTTCTCAAAATGAGAAGACTGAGCGAGTTGGGGGGCGGTGCTAAACATTCATACTGAAAAAACCTTGCAGAACGGGTATAGCTCCTTTAACATCAAAAAGTTTAAATGTGATCCATCCAAATGATGAGCACTTTTTGGCAACAAATAATAGGTATTAATTTCAAAATATTTAGAGTTTGTCTATCATCTGGTCAGAACCTCATTCTGGGCATACAAAATAAACGTACCTGCAAAGCAGTCTCTATACATTTGGGGCTGCGGTGAAAGCCTGCCTTCAGAGCATACTCGCTGTGTCCCAAACTTTCTAGTGCTGCTTTATATGCCTAGAAATAAAGACAAACACAGTTTAGCAGCTAAAAGAAATTATAATGGTTGGGGATTATGGATTTTTGAATACCAGCAAAGCATTATCAATCTTCATATTGAGCTCCTTCAACTGGTGCTCAGGAATAGTGGTGGTGTTTGAGCAGAAGAGTTGCTGAACTTGGATGCCTGCCAAGCAGCCGTCTCTGCCCCTCTCTCGAAGTCTAGCCGTTGCCTAAAAACAGAACCAACATGTTCATACAAAGATACAAACACAGTTTTTATGATACAACATTCTAAAGCCATGTTGATGTCAATACTACTGCAAGTCGAGATCAATATTTTTGACCTGGTTTTGATGTTTTCAAAGTAAACATGTGTGCATTACGTGTTACCGTTGGCTTCATGTACCGCACGCACTATTTAGTATAATATAATATGCAATTAATCATTGAAGTCATCAGATGGTCTTTCCTCCATGACTAGCGCGGCTATGTTGTGCGAAACTTTAAACACTTGCACATAGAACAGTGCACGGACTGCTCAGATAACTGAAGTCTGTAGCGCTGGGTTTTAGGCAGATACACTTGACCTGCAATAACGTGCAATCTGTGTGGAGAGCAGAGACTCAAAAACTCACTAACGGTTAGGATTGTGCTGCGGTGCGCGAGACTTAGCATAGAGATGTTTGACTCATGGATTTTTTTAAGCTCTTTACTGCGACCCACTGGATTCAGGCCAGCGAACCCCTTGTGAGAAAGGCAGGAGTGCAGTGTCCTCTCATTCATGTTACACACAGATCAGTGCAGAAAGCCAATTAAAGGATAGCTGTAAAACATCTCGAAAGTTAAAAGAAAATAGAAACCTTACTGTACAGAAGAGAGTTGGCAAGAAAGGTTTGAAATTTCAAATACAGTCTTCACGTTTATCAATTGAAATGTCCAGATCCTGATTTTACATACCTCAGTTGCACTTCTCCATGAACGAGAGGCTTCTTCCAGCTCTGTAATGGGTGCATGGTCAGAGCTTTGAGAGCGGATATTGGCACAACGCTCTTGAGCCTGAGCCAGAGCTTCTGCCAAACATGACTGAGCCACAGGCTGCACCTTCTGCAACGCCTGGGACAGAAACTGGAAATGGACC